CGTAGCTCCACTGTTCCGGTCAAAACTGTTTTTTACAAGTAGTAAGGCAAATCACAGGATATAAGAAATCAATATAATGTCATGGCGAGCATCTAGCATCTGTGGCTAATTTGCAGAATCTTCAAACGCTGAGATTAACGTGACCAAACACTTCCTGTGACCCTCCTAAAATGTGTAAGGTGGTATATTTTGAATGATTCAACTGGATGTTTTCTGCTGTCACTGTGTTCACGGTGTGCACAGCTGTGTTTATCGTGTGATTTTCATGTTTTTTTCCACTGAATTTAATTTGTTCCATTAAAAAAAACATATCTTCCCAGGGGACAAATGTGTTGATGGGTCTGTGTAGGTGAGGTGCACAACTGAAGTGTGAGATAAGTCAAGAGGAGACAAGATGAGACAGCCAGCATGGGCTCCATCAGGCAGCAGCATGTGATTCACTGTATGTGCATGTGAGAGCTGAAGAGGCTGGATGACTGTAGGGGAGGTGGAGGTGCTGAGTGGAACGCAAGAGTGTGTGAGATTGGGTGAGTTTTTTGGGATGAGTGAAAGAGGTTCAGGGTTAAGGAAGTGGGGTTGGGCAGGGGGTGTCGAGCGACGGTTGGTGGTCTGGAATGAAAGGAGGTGTGGGGTCATACAGCATTTAAAATGTCAGTTACAGTTTTTGATTCATAGTATTTGGATTTTTAGGTATTTTTATTTTTTCACTAAATTTAGTGCAAAAGTTTAAAAAATGTATAAATACCAGGGATATCAGCCCATAATAATAATCTATTTTAATAATCCGGGGATTGTACTGATAAATAAATAAAATTACCAGGCCTATATCGGAATCGGAAATTAAGTGTTTGGACGTCAGATATCGGCAAAAAGTTCATATCAGACAAGTGCTAATAATATCCACCATATTTAACAGTTTTACAGGTGAGAGCAGGAGTGGGTTAAACGTTTGCCGGCCTTTGTGAAAGTTTTGAACACATTAGCTGTGTGTAGGTAGTGTAGTATGGCGAGACCAGAACAAATTGGCGGCATGCATGCTTCAGGCCTGTGTTCTAACATTTTGTCCTGCCATCTGTGTGTCAGAGGGTGGTAGTCATTTGCCCTTTGTTCTTGCCTCCAGTCATAAAACTATAAAGCATAATAATCTGTTCCAGCACTGAGAAGAGATGCTCCTTCAGTCTCATCACTGAGGTACGCAGAGTCACCACAAACACAGGTTGTCGTACTAATCTTTTAGACCCCACGTGGACCCTCAAAGTTAAAGAAGAAGAGTTTCTACAGTGAGCACAGTTTGTTCAAACTTTATCTTCATTTTTTATTATGTTTTTTTTTTGTTCTACAGTAAGACGACGGTGGGAGTAGTGGCCCCCGGCTCATTAAACTTTTAAACCCCTTCTTTATGGGACGTGACGGCAGATCATCTGCCTCCATCTCACCCTGTTCTCTGCTCCACCACAGTTACCACCTCCACCTCCTCTTTTACTACACTCATAAATCTTCTGTAGGGTTTTCCCCTGTTCCCATCACCTGGCAACTCCACCTCCAACATCCTCTGTCAAATAAATCCACCACCTCTCCTCGACACATCCAGATCATCTCCACCTTTATCTCCTAACTCTTCAACCTTCATTTTTCTCTTTGCCCTGCTGTCCGTCCTGGTCAGTTCATCTGCCCCTCTGTCATTCAGACTGTCACTGTGTCTAAACTGTACATCATAGCAGGTCTCACTGCACTCCTACATAAACCCTAAGATCTTCATCTTGTGTGTGTTGAAAAATATCGCCATATTGGATATCGGCAAAAAGGTATCATCGGACATCCCCAATAATAACCTAAAAGTATAAACAGTTTGTCCTCGGAGCTACACATGACAACAACAGCACATCATTTTAAAATAAAATGAGACAAAAGTAGCTGCACACAGACAGACAGACAGAGTGCAGCTAAAGAATTGTGTTTTGATTTGTGTGTGTAGGACATGAGAGTGGAGAAGGAGTGCTTCTTTTATATTCCAACAGCTCCCTCTTCAAACACTCCCACCACAGCCCTTCCTATGATGCTTACTGAGCTCCACTTGAAGAGGCGCTTTGTATGGGATTTTATTATCACAGCTACGACATGTCGCCCAAACAAAAGACAGCACTCATCGCTGGAACAAAAACAACCACACGTAAACACACCGGCCTCCAGGGTAAAAACGTCTGAGTCCAAAAATGTTGCACGACAGCAACGCAAAGCAACTCGTGGCTGTTAAACTCTTCAGTCAAGGCCAGCGAGTGCGAGTAAACGTCCTGGACACCAGAACGACAACAGCAGTGACCGTTGGTCCACTTCTCAGTCATGTGACCTCCAGCCACCCTACAGAATCAAACCCAGAGCTTTAATTAAAGAGTTCAACAACTCAACCTCACGTTCTGTCTCCACTTTCATTTCTTCTTTCTGTTCTTTTCTTTTGTTCTTTCTGTCTTTATTATTCTTTCTTTTTTCTATTTCTGTCTTTCCTTTTTCATTTCCTTTTCTTCTTTCTTTCTTTCTTTCTTTCTTTTTTTTCTCTCTCTCTGTCCTATTCTCCTGTGGTTGTGCAGGAGGATGACTGTGGTGTTGTGATGAAGCCCACCCAGGCAGGTCTGTGGCCACTTTAAAAAAAACAATTCAGGCTTATTGAAGGTAAAACAGGCGCGCGCTCCATGTCACTGAATATTAAGGAGGCGTTCTATCAGGGCTGCATTAATTCCAGCCATGTGTTTTAATTAGTATTCCTCCCGATTGTTTACGGAGCTGTGGGAATCTGAAAAGTTAATAGAGTAGCCGTCGTTCTGAAGCGACTGTAGGCACTCAAACGTCTGATAAAGCACTCTCAGAGTTGGACGTAAATGAGAATTCTGACACCAAAGGGTTCATAATCCAGATACTTAGTCTGACATTAAATCTGCAGCAAACAAGATTCTTATCTAAGTGTCTGCAGGACTCTCCTGGGACCAACTGCGCTAAGTGAATTAATTATGGAATTATAGAAGTGTAGAAATAATGACAATATTATCAAGGCCTGAGGTCTTAATCAAATTGTCTGATTTATCTGTCTTACTGTTATTAAAAAGATATGAAATAAAGCCACCAGACGGGGGGGGTGGGTTGGGGGGGGGTGCATTTACAGCGAGCGTAGTGATTGTGTGATTAAATTACATTTGTGTTGCAGATGCTGAAAAATATTATATGAAAAAGATCTGCCCATTCACTTCAGTTTAATGAAGAAAAAGTCTCTGGTTCTGTTGGATTTCTACGGCCAGACTTATGAAACTTATGAAAACTGAAGGCTGATGTTTTGAAATGTCTTTTATCACAAATGGAAAAAGTCAAAAGAATCCAACAAAATCAACACACATATATAAATGTGTGTTTATACCAACTGGCACCATTACAATACATACATATACATACTTTTTAAGAAATTAAGTTTTTTTTTCTACGTGTGAATTCTCAGATGTTGTGTGTATAATAATTTCTGTAAAACATTAGGAGCTAATAAGGAGGGGGCCGAGGGGGGGTGGGTAGCGGGGGTGTTGTCATGCACTGAAGTTACTGCATAAGAAATAAAGCCTTAAATTACCATAATAGGTTGGATGTAACAGAAGAACACTAATGGCCGCGGCCCAGCCATACGGCGTGAGGTGGACATTAGCCGCGTCTGCTGTCATTACGACAAGCAGCAGCCAATTAGAGGAAATGCTTTTTGCTTTTTGATGGGTCTGAGAGGGAAGGTGGGGTCGCAAAGAGTTCGGGGGGCGCGGGGGCTCCGTTAATTTGTTTTCCATCAGGGTGTGAGCTTTTTAGAAATTCAAAGCTTTTCGTGGCTAAGATGAACCATTTACTTGACAGGTGAAAAGTGTGTGTCAGTGGAGAACCCCAGACGATCACAGTCTGAGACTCTTCACTGTGACATGGTCCTAACAGTAACCCCGTCAACAAACACATGATTAAATGACCCTCGGATCAGACCAGTGTTCTGTGGCCCCGCCCTCTTTATTCGGAAACAGCAGTGTTTCTGCTGTTTACTAAGTACCTGTCTGTCTTTTTACTCTCTCTCTCTCTCTCTGTCTCTCACCCACCCACTGACCTCATCGGTGACGACGGTGGATGCACTCTCTGGGTCACTGACCTCAAAACACATTATCTGCCCATGACACTGGGGGTACCGTTTATGTATGTTTACAAAAATGCCCCCGAAGCTATTACTGCGAGTCATGCCTCATTCATTTATATAATTAAACACACTGCTCGTTAACGAGCCAACTGACAACAGGCCGTCGATACCGCTGCCATCGCCGTCTCATCGCTCCTGTAGAGTCTTTTTTTGTTGTTGTTGTCATTTCTACTAAAGAATGTTCAGAGTACTGTATATTCAGCCTTTCATACACTGTGTTACTGCAGGGGTGAAAGGTCGGGTGAAGAATGAACGAGTGGCTCAATCCCAGCAGTCACCTGACCACTGGGCCATTCACACTCACCCTCACACCTACTGTTTGTTTGGCCAATGTAGTGTGAAAAATAAAGCTAAACCAGGAGAACTAGTTCTCCTGCTCCACAATCTGGTAAAAAAAAATCCATAAAAACTGCAAAAATAAACTTACAATGGAAATAACATAAATTTAAAGATGTAAAAAAACAAGCCGCCCTCCAGTCGACCCCCCCGGGGTACTGGACCCTCAGAAAACTGATGCCTTTTTACTTCAAAAGGATGGGAACACTGATGTGTTAATAGACGGTCAACCGCACACGTGCACGAGCACTTACACGCACACTTTACATATTCATAAACCACACAAACACTGTTTGAGAAACCATAAAACTGGTCATTTAACAGGACCCCGGAGAGTGCGTGTGTGTGCGGTGAAGAGAGAGGAGCTGTCACGTCAGCCTTCTTACCGAACCCCCCGCCCCCCCACCTCCTCCGCACCCCTCCCTCATCAAGCCTGGTGACGTCAGACCCGTTACCTATTTAAACCGGGCGCACAAACAGTAGTTTTGAGAGCGCGTGCACGGCTGACTGACTCCGCTGTAGAGTTGCGTGTAGATTATTTTATTCTCTGCAGCCAACCGCGGTCCGACCAGAGATTCAGTCACAGAAACTTCTTATCTGTCAAGCGCACGTTTATTCAGCGCGACAATTCGGCTCACTTTACGGTCACCTACTGCACCGACACTGACGAAGTCGCGCGTCGGAGAGAAAAACAGATTGGCTTAAAAAGAGCTTGATAAAAACAAAGAGGTAAGACGAAAACTTCAATTAATTTTAATTAAGCACGGTACTAATCGTATTGATAATAAAATAATAAAGTTTAAATATTTGTTATTTATAACAGATAAAAGTAAGATAAGTATCAAGTATATTATAAATAGAATAAAATGGGTCAAGTTGTTGTTGTAGCTATTTTTTGTATCAATAGCAGGGATAATATTTTAAATCAGTGATTGTATTTAATATATATTACATCCGAGTCACCAATAATAAACACAGCCAATAATAATGTTCTGACAATAACTAAACCAAATATTTTAGTTACCACAGAGTTGGAGGAATTTTGATAAATGACGAATGAAAATGTTTTTAAAGAAATGGGAATACCTCAGGTCATACAGTTCTAGGACAGCTGTGTTTTGTTTTAATTTGATCAGGTCAAAAATATTAAAATCTTTTACCAAACTGAAATTGAAACCTGTTGAATATATATCCAAACATTGTAACAAGTTCAATTTTATTGAACTTCATTTTTTCCTCTTCTTTAAACTGGAAGAATATTTGAGAGGGACTTGATTCTAGTTTCTAAATATTTTTTTCACCTAAACAGAGGACATGTAGACTGGGTTATTTCCATCAGTGCAGATTGGTGTTAGAGCGTCTTGTAGAGTACGCAGAAAAATACATATCTACACAATAAAAAAACAAATATTTAAACCAGATCAGGACTGATTCAATTAACGATTGTTGTAGAAATAATGCACCTGTGTGCTGTGTTGTCAGTCCATGGCTGGCCTCTCTCACAGGAGCTGCATGTGGGTGCTGTTCCTGAGTGTTTGTGTGTCACTGGTGGCCACCACAGACTGCGGCAAGGAGTGTGCACTGTGTGTGTACCAGCTGCTGGAACAACAGTCCCCGCTCTCTGCACTGGTAATGTCCTGCTTTCATTCCTTCTTACATGTTCTACTTCAGTAACCCCTGCAGGGTCAGAGGTCAGAGGTTAGGGGTTTGGTTGCTGATGTTTATGTTTATTGAAAAATCATCAGAAATACTTCTGATACACATCGTGACGAGAGACTGACTAAGTCAAACAGTCAGTCTGTATTTCAGCCTAAAACAATTTAATTTAAAGATGAAAAATGCAAAAAAATACTCATTATTATAATAACAAAATGAATTAATAAATAATATATTGAGCATACCTGCATTTATTTTAAGAGCAGGGACGAATGAATTGTTATTGTTGGTTTCTGTCATGTCTTGAGCTTTGAAAAAAAGCAAGGATTCATGTGTCCCAATCCACATGAATCCTTGTTGCCTCCTCTCACGGCTCCCAGAGGCGGCTGCAGTTGTGCTCCTCTTTCCAACGGCCCCTCAGGTGCCTATACGTCCCCAATTCAATTTTCCTCCTCATTAATTCCCTTTTGTAAAAGCTCAGCATTAATCTGTGCTGATTGCCGTCACAGCGGTTTGTTGATAGCTGAAACAAGTGAAACCCAGCTCCAGATGTGAGGTTAGAGGGAGGTGAGGACATTAGAGTGGAGTGTTTCAGGCCATACGTTCACCTTTAGCCTGATGGCAACGGTGTCAGCGGTGCTATATGGACGCAGCAAGTGGGGAAGAACAGGATGAGTGCTTCGCAGGATGGGAAACCTGTAGATTTTATAGGTGACTACAGCGCTGCGAGATGTTGTTAAAAGAGTAATTGAATAACAATAAAAAAAAGTACAACAAAAAAAAATAGATCTGTTTCTCTCCCTGATGAGTCCACCCACGGAATCTGTGTGTACTAGTCAGTGTGTACTAGTCAGTGTGTACTAGTCGGTGTGTACTGCAGATCACTTTATACTGCAGAGTGAGTTTGAGATGTATTTTTTATATATATAAATAACATATATATGTTATTTTGTTTTTCATCACACCTAAAATAAAATTACAAAACTTTATTTGAAGTGTGCAACATGTTATCACATGTATTACATTTTATACTTTTCTTCTTTTGTGCATTAATTTTTATTCTATTTTCCATTTTCATATTTTTGATTACCTTCTCCTTCTGCTGCTGCTGTAACTAAAGTTTCCTCTTGATGGATTATTAAACTTCTACCGTATGTCATCTCATTCTTTCTCATCTTTTCTGTTCTCATCACTTCTTTCTTCTGCAGTTATATTTTTGGCTTCAGTACACAGTTACTTTAGAATTTCCATTTGGCCTCATCTACAGTCTGCAGGTATTTTGGAGAGTACACTGCTGGAGTACACGTACAGGGAGGAGGAATATTTAAATTTTACATACTGAGGTCATTATACTCGCCTGTACACAAACATGTGACCGTCTAACTATATGACTTATATATATTCAGGCATTATTTGAATGGTGAAATTATTGTTACTTTAGAATACCTATCTCTGTTATCCAAATAGCTGTTAGCATGATGATTCAAAATTAATTTAACAGAAATGTCTCAGAAACACTGGTCTGAGTTCAAATCCAGTTCTTGTAATTATTTTCCCAGGCATGCTCACTGGAGTGTGATGGTGCGTTGAACAGTCAGAAGCTCAGCAGGTGCCAGGACCTTCTGCTGGGGGACGAGAACCAAATCCCCCTGGAGGCTGACCCTCATCAACTGGAGGCAAACGTCGTGATGGCCGACAGCGAGGAAGCGGCGTCACCGAATCATCAGCTGATGAAGAAGTACGGTGGCTTCATGAAGAGATACGGCGGTTTCATGACCCGCCGCTCTTCTACCCCTTCAGCAGAGGGGGCGCTAGAGAGCCCTGACGATAATGAAGTTGTCGGCCTGCAGCTCTTAAAGCTCCTCAGTGAAGCAGCAGAGCACGGCAGTGACGGGGACAGTCGGGTGCATCAGGCAGTCAAGAGGTACGGGGGCTTCATGAGGCAAGCTGAGAGCAGCGTGGAACAGAGCGATCTGCTGGAGGCTGTTTTAGACCGTGGGCTCAAGAAGCGCTACGGAGGGTTCATGAGGCGTGTAGGCAAGCCTGAATGGCTGGTGGACAGCAAGAGCAAGAGAGGGGGGCTGTTGAAACAGGCCTGGAAGAGTGACATTGAGAGAAAGAAAATGGATGAAGGATTCATGGACTAGGATGCCACCGCCACGGCCTCTCCATCCCATCAGCCCTCCAACTGGTTGCCATGTAGTGTGGAGTTGGTGCTGTGAGAGTCAGCTGACTGCTCCCTTTGCTAATTACGTTGTTTCCTGCTGCTTTGTGGAATGTGCTGCTTCTGCCTCCATTGTAGGACCTCCTGGTCTGGTGTTGATAAAACGATGATAGCTGTAGGTGTACATAAATGATATATATGTGGTCTGTTTGGGGTCCACTGATGTTGTGTATTAAATTAACCTGTTGATTGTGTCTGTGTGTATTGTTTATTAATATACTGAACCTCCTCACGGACATACACGTAGGACTTAAAACTACAGGCACACGTTTACAGACATGCAGTAATACACAAGAATGAAACTGTAGAAAATATATGGATATACTGCATACATATAAAATATATAGAGATATACATTAAAAATATACTAAAATACATATATTACTGCGTGCACCCTAAGGGAAGCTTAAAATCTCGTTGTACCTTGTATAATGACAATAAAGGCTTTCTATTCTATTCTATTCTATTCTATATAAATGCATTTCATTTAATGTGATGAAAAAATAATGCACTCAATAAAATAAAAATGATCTTAACATTGGCAGCTGCTATAACAAACACTTCTTCTGCACGACAAACTTACCACAAGGTAAAATAATGAAAATAATGAAATCCCAACCAGCATTGAATTTAAAAAAAAATCAAATTACACGTGCAGTACCCAAGCGTACCAATAGATGTCCGCATATCCTCTGTTGAGAAGCACTGGCGGAGATGATATTACAGACAGAAAATGCATGGCTGTATGTGACGTAATACAGCAATAAAAACAGCAAATATCTATTAGAACATATGACATCAACTATTTTATATAATGTGGACCAATCATGTATGTTAATATTAAACACGAACGTGTTAGCAAACTGGAATTTATATTAGTTTTATCCCTGTGTATACTTACTTAAATTACTTAGTACAAACAAAGTAGAACTGCAAAGAGAAAGTTTTGTCTTTAGAACTGTTAGTGGTCAAACAAGGTATTTCAGGGATGACGAACCATTTATTTGTCAAACATTTGCATAGGAAAATCTCTCTTCGGTTTGTTTGTTTGATCAGACTACACGACAACAAAACACCGTACACTGGCTAGTAGTAAAAACTCCGACAGACTTGAATGTTTCCAAACTTGTGTTTTATCGGGATTATTCTCATTCTTAGAAATTACGATATACTTAAATTCACTGATACTGACATATGTGTGATAGACATCGTTCATCTCTGAGATGAGAAACCTCTGTTTGTATTGTGGTAGGTGGACTGGTGGTCACGTGGTACATGTAGGCGTCTTCTGCTGCCATTTCCGTTTTTTTTTTTGGTATGTCACGGATAAGTTAAAAAAGAAACACAGGCCATCAAACCAACGGTCCAGACTCACACCGCGTCCCCCCGGAGGTTGTCGACTGCTGAGGTAACATCGAGGTACTGTCGTCATCATACACAAACGCACGTGTACAGACTTAAACACACACTTAACTCATCTTTGTACACAGTCTAGAAGAGCCTGTCCGTGTAGCGGATCCTGGTTGGTGCGTAAACAATGTTGAATTTACCGATCAACTTGTGTGGCTACAAGTAAAGCTTAAGAATATAACTGTAACGAACGCGTACTGGTGCGTACTACGTGTTTTAAGACAAAGGTCGTCAAGTCTAGTTTTTTGTTTTGTTTTTTCAGATTTTGGACTTTTTTGGGGTCGACCTGCAAATTAATGTACTCGGTTTTTCAAAGTTTGGATGCAGACTTTATGTTACGTAACAGGGGTCCAGGGTCTTCGGGCTTGTTATCTCCAGACGGCGACTGATGTTTGTCAAAATCCGCACTACTGTCAATCACACGTTGATTGAACTCGTATCAATCCGCCCCCAATCGACAATGTTCTTGAGAAATTGTTAGTTTGTTATTTTCACTATTATTTTTAATTAACATTGTGTTGTACACGAGAGTGTTCAAATTAGAAATGAGAAATTCCTACAGTTGACAGAGCATTAAAGCAGCACATCCCATCGCCTAACAACCCACAATGCATCCTGCTTGTGTTGTTTGTAAAAGCAGTTTACTATGCAAAAATATATAGTATAGTATAAAATAAAGTATAGTTAATTAATTATATAGATATTTTTGCTAGGGTTTTGTTAGAATACTGAACACATTCTTTGTTTTCCAATTAAATTTTTTTCCCCCATGTTTTATAGTCACCTGTTTATTAGCTTCCAGAAAGATGGCCAGCCCTTTTGCAAATCTATACACTTTTTTTTCATCCAGGACTGTATTTGTTTTGATTCAGTGGCGTAAAGTTTTTTTATAAACTAGGTTAACAGTCAAATCAAGATCGGGAGCTTTGTCAGCACTGTAGGTGTGGTTAATGAGATATGGCTGACTGCTGTTGCACCAGGGCCTCAGGGTAACAGGAGTGACCCCGTGTTCCAAAGGTCCAGTGTAAGTTGCCAGTATGCAATAATCACAAATTACCTTTTGTTTAAGGTGACTTCAGGATACCAGATGTTGATTTGTAAAATGTATATAAATTATAATATATATATAAAATAAAAATTTAATAGTTTGTTAAAAAAAATTTTTGGAGAGAGTAATAACTTTTAAATTTACTGGGAGCAGATGTATTAAGTATCCTTCCAATATACATATAAATATGTATCAAATATAATATGATCCTAAAGTTATTGTGACTTTATTTCCTTCACAGAGCCATCATGAACTTCTTCCTGGAGACACTTATGGTTCTCCTGATGTCCATCTGGTACACCTTGGAAGCTCTTGTGTATACCTTCATACCAAGACGGAAGAAAAACATCTCTGGGGAAGTGGTCTTAATCACAGGGGCGGGGAGCGGGATTGGTCGTCTCATGGCTCAGGAGTTTGCGTCTCACGGCACAGTCCTGGTGTTGTGGGACATCAACCAAGACGGCATGAAGGAGACAGCCAAACTGGTGAAGGAGTGTGGAGCCAGAAAAGTTCATTACTATCTGTGTGACTGCAGCGATCGCAACGAGGTTTACAGAGTGGCTGAGCAGGTGAGCCTCCTGCAGCACGGTACAGTACGGACCAGCTGCAAATGGTCTTGTCACTCATTGTGGTCTTGTTTCAAATCTCAGTCTGGACTGGGTCTATCTCACGGTCCCATGTACATGATGGACACATTTCAGTGTGGACAAGTCTTGTGTCTCAGTGTAGGCTTGTCCTAGGTCTCATATAGACTTGTCTGTTGATTTACACAAACTGTTGTGCTAGTAAAGGAAAGTTGGCTGCAAAACATTGAAAATTTTATGACAGCCTGTAGGGGTCATCAGTGAGATTTAGTGACGCAGAATTCAATGCAATCAATATTGATTTACTGCAGTTTAATAAAAATGAAAGTTTATGCACAAACAAAGAAATGGTACTGGATGAACTAGGACTGTGTTATCTGAGACAGTAGTCCAGACAGAGGTCAGATAAAGTCCAGGAGGTGACGTAACCTCTCTCTGAAGTAACTGGGTTGGGTGATGTCATCATTTTTTTAAATTTCAAACGATCATATTACAATATTTGTTTTAGCTGCAGCTGAGAAGCTAGCAACCTAGCATGATACAAGGGCATTAAATGCATTAGACAGTCTTTAGACCACACTGATCTGTGATCGATGATTTGAAAGGAGGATCCATCAGGAGTTGCTTCAGTAGATGGTCTCAGCATAGAAGTGAAAAAAAGGGAATGCCACTCTTGGCTATATATCCTCACTGTCAGAGTGTTGGAGTGGGGGAGGTGTGGAAACAAGTGTGGGCTGGAACTCTGTAAGATTGAGGACAAGAATGTCCACCCAGAGGCCAAATGGTGCCTGATTGTTTTGGTAACAGACACTGGAGAACAGAAGCATTGAGATTCATTATTGTGTCTGCACAATTTCATTCTCATTGATTTTTTTTTATTCCTGTTTTCAGTTATTATATAATTTTCTCATTCTTCTAATGAAATGGTAATATTTTTTTAAAGGGTCTAACTTTATTACCTGAGGTCATTTTTAAATACATGATAAAATATGGGCCAATCAGAGTTAGGGACTCTTGGAACAAGGCAACGTCTGACAGCTTTCAGACTGACCCTAATGTTTTTGTTGTTATTCTACACACTGAAGCAATCCCTTTGTCTGTTGTTAGCTACAGCCGACACGTCCTGCCTTCACTTGTTTACAGTCATTTACTCTTGACTCCAAACAGGTGAAACGGGAGGTGGGTGACGTCAGCATACTGGTGAACAACGCTGGGATTGTAACAGGGAAGAAGTTCATGGATGCTCCTGACTCCTTGATTGAAAAGACAATGGAAATCAACACCATGGCTCACTTCTGGGTCAGTCAAATGCAGCATCAACACAGTGACATCGACTGTCTACATCACAGAAACTGATGGTTCTTCTGGTATCAGTTAATTATCAGTAAATGTTAATTGTCCGTCTCTCTGCTCAGACGTACAAGGCCTTCCTTCCTGCTATGATCGCCAACAACCACGGACACCTGGTCAGCATTGCCAGTTCTGCTGGACTTGTGGGAGTCACCGGGCTGGCAGGTCAGTTTCTGTGTCATGAATTCCAATTTAATGTGTCCAATATATTCATGATCATCTTTGTATGTGTGTCCAATATATTCATGATCATCTTTGAAATCATTCTGTCTGCTCCACGACTTCTAGTCCACCCATTAATTATTTTTCACCTTTAGCTTCTCTCTTCAGGGATCACCAGAGCAAATGCATTTGCCTTCATTTTACTCTAACCCACTACAAGTACAAATCTACAAGCAGACCTCATTGCAGATCTCACTTTACTCTGTAACACAACATCCTGTCTTCAGCCATTGTATTCTACTTGTGGTTTTGGGCTTCTGTCGCTGTCATTCACACACACAGATTCAGCATCAAATCTCTCTTCACAGATGTTTTATATAATTCACAGTCTATTTCTTTTCTACTGCACATGCTCTCTTGATTGTTGGACTAACACTAACTACTGCCTGCTACTAAAACACATTTTAATGCAATTATTCTGTTAAAAAAAAACCCACGTATCTGAAGTTTTCATAAGAAACGTTTAAGTTGTTTTTGTTTTTGTGTAGTCACTGATTTTCAATGTAAGCGAAATACAGACCACCTTTCACCTCATTTTCTGTCACACCAACTGAACTTTGACTTGATAACAAGCCTTTGGTTGTATAACTGTGGGTGACGTATTAGTACACTTTGGAACGTGGCCACAAGGTGACTCTATACTCTATAGCAGTTTACCTGCTGCCTTATCAGCTGTCAGTTTGTGTTTGACACATTATGTGACTGTTACAGCTGTTGATGAGAAATCTGAGGTGTAATAAACCCATATGGTTGGTGTGCACAGAGGAGACGGGTCAGGTACACCTTAGGGTGTGTAGAGCTCTTTGACCTACATCTGATCTGCCTGTGGTCCTGCACTCAGGGACAGTCACAGAGGTTGTCTAAGGCCGACATGCTAATGCTAAGATAACCTACCAAACCGAACACAATCTCTGCAAAACAGTCGCAGATACGGGTTGATTACTCATTTCTATTCTCGGTCCTCGCTTCTTCTTCTTCTTCCTGCAGACTACTGCGCCAGCAAATTTGGCGCAGTAGGGTTTGCGGAGTCTATCGGTCTGGAGATGCTGGCCACTGGGAAAGATGGCATCAAAACCACCCTTGTGTGTCCGTTCTTCATCAACACTGGGATGTTTGATGGCTGTCAAACCAAGTAGGGCTTTTTACAGTGCTTGACAATATACACACAATATATGGATAAATGTAAATAAATCTTTGCACACACATGTTACACATGTATACATGTATGACATGTGTGTATATGTAGAATGATTTCAGTGTGGCAGCAGCACCTCTCCTGACATGTTGGTGTCCAGTGGTCTGTTGATTTCATCCTAACGATCTCTCTGTTCATCAGGTGGCCAACTATTATGCCCATTCTGAAACCTGAATATGCTGCCAAGAAGATCCTTCATGCTGTGCTCACAGACCAGACGTACTTACTGATGCCCAAGAGCATGTACTTCATCGTTGGTTTAAAAAAGTTAGTATCAGGCTTTTCTTTTTTCATCCATGTTCATTACACACACACACACACACACACACACACACAAAGTGTCACAGAGCTCCTGTAAAAAAATCTTTTCCTCATGGAATGGTTGACCTTCCTGGATAAGGTCATGTTTGAGTCTGTGTTGTCCCTCACAATTCTCCTCAGTGTCCTACAGTGGAAGATGACCGCTGTCCTCATCTCTTACCTGGGTCTGTCTGTGGAGGCAGACTACCAGACTGACAACAGTCTGCAACGCAAACTGCTGTGACACACGCTTTCAAATGAAATAAATATTAAATGCAATATGTGAGAAATAAAACCAGTTTAGCACCTGCACTGTGTGGCATTCTGATGACCATCACTGGCCACTGGTGGTCTTTTTATTTTAGGAACACATCTGGTTTGTGGTCATGACCCTTTGTGTGTGTATGAAGTAAATAAACACACTCACCTAAAATATAAGGGGAAAAACAGGGATTTAAACCATGGATCTGTAACACAGATTTTAAAGGCTCAGCTTAAAATAAATCAGGGGATGACATGACTGGACAACAACAGAAATTTTGACTCTGTATCCTGCAGATCATCAAATGTTTTGTCATCTGTCACGTCTGAAGTTTGATAGGAAAATTAGAGAGGAAAGAAACACTGACTTTTCAACAATAATCTTTTATATTCCTACTGTTCCTACTCTTAACTATTTTCTTTTTTTTTTGTCTTTTCTTCTTTTTTTTCTTCACCTTTATATTTGACCAAAAAGAGGGTTTGTGATGATGTTTGAACGAAAGCTGAAAAGGTTAATAAATTTCACCTTATATTTATTTATTTTTTACTATCCTTAGTATTCTCCCCACAAAGATGGGCATTCTGCTGGGGTGGTACATGGGAGCCTTCAACTTCATGGACAAGTTCATAGGACGCAACCAAAAACAGAAGTGAAGCCATGAGAACGCTGTCCACGTCAACACGTCTCTGAAGACCATCGGGGGATCATGGTGTTGATGATGATGATGACTTTTGGTTTCTTTTAACCGTACACTTTGGGCTTTGGCATTAAAATAACACCATAAACATTTTTTTTAATGAAAAAAAAAAGATTTAACAAAATTGTACAAATGCAACAGTTGTAATAGTGTCAGCCAACGTCAACCTCCATAAAGGACTTAAAAAAAAAACTTCCTCTTAATGTCATGTTCGTGTCCTGTGGAACAGATGAATACCGTCTGCACACATTTCATTTCATACACTACTGATGAACAGCGCTCCAGTCAAACCACGCATTTTTTAAACATATATATGTAATTCATACATATGTATAAAAATTTCATATGTAATAATTTTATTTTAAAAATTTGGATATTAATGACTATATTTAATGTACCTCTATAGCATGTATACTTGATTAATAAAAACATGTAATTGAGAATTAATTAGGTTTTGGGATAAGGTTTATTAGGCTGAAACTCGGAAAAAACGGTCTTCGAATCAATGAGTCTTCTGCTATCAGACAAAAGCACGGACTACACTGCCACCATGTGGGCTGTTTACTTATTAACGTCAAAACAGTGATACTTTAACAAGCAACAATTAAGGAGTCGTACCGGATAATTGCATATAGAACCACTTATTATATATTGTAATGAAGAGAGTTAATGAGAAGTACGAAACATTCGTTCATAAATATTAAATATTGTCCACAGGAATAAAGGGCTGAAGAGCCACAGGCTGCAGGTAGTCTATGGCATAATTATAAGCATTAACTAACCCAAGATGGCGGCAACGTTGACGGGTTCATACGTAGTCGACGCGCACCCATTCTACGTGTCGACGTCAATGACCAGCGTCGGTTGACAGTGTTCCGGCGTCGCAGGTTATGACGCTCGGTTAGCCGGCTAACTAAGCCTTGTTTTTACTACTTGAAAACAGTAATAGCATGATGACATTTAAGTAAATTATTGCTATTTGACGCAGCCGCTGTCAACAACCTGTGGGATGTAAGCGGCAATGCGGAAGTACCGTTTATTCTATTATTATTTATATACCGTGTGCTCATTTTCTTTCGTTGTTTTCCTTGTGCCTTTTCAACCCATGAAAACAGGTAATCAATTTGTCCCGTAACATTTTTACCGCATATGCACAATAATAATAATAATAATAATAATAATAATAATAATAATAATAATAATAAATCTCAGTGGCATTTAAAAAACAGAACTTGGTTTGTGTTTGTATCGAACTGACGTCTACGGGAGCATCCAATGTCATCCAGCATAATTTAAGTTGATGTTTACACTTCTAAGTGAGAGAACTTGTTAAATCTTTAGTTGAAGTTTTTGTGTTCATGTTTTTATATACTTTTTATATTATAAACTGCTTTTCATTATTGAGAGTGACGATAAGGATCTGTTGATTTGACCTGTGATCAAAGAGCTGTTTTTTTTCCAGATGCTTCACAATGAAGATCAATAAGTCATATAAATTAGTTCTGCACAAGAAAGGATTTGGAGGAAGTGGTCAGTGTGATACTTTGTTTACCAGAAAACATTTCTCTTATCATTATTATTATTTTTTATCTACATTATATTTACCCATCGACTTTCTTTTTGTGCAGATGATGAGCTGGTAGTAAATCCTAAACTCTTCCCACAAGTCAGTTTGGGAGATATCATTGAGATTGCACATCCGACAGATGAATACAGGTGAGCTTCTTCTGATCAAATGATTTTGCTTCTATGCCACATTAACCATTCACTCCTGTTGTGTTTGTTCACTCTCAGTCCTCTGCTGCTGCAAGTCAAAAGCCTAAAAGATGATCTGCAGAAAGGTGATCCTCTATTCTTAAATGTGTTTTTGTCAAGAGATGATAATGGCGTTATCAAAATACAACAACATGTTTATAGCAACCAGTTTGAGTAATTTTTATTTTGAAAAATTACCTTAAAGCCCTAGGAACTTTGTGCTATATTTACAACAGTTGTTTAGATGAATAATTCTGTGCTCTTTTTAGAAACAATCAGTGTGGACCAGACAGTAGCTCAGGCCTTCAAATTCCGTGCCTATCAGGATGTCATTGTGAACATCGTTGACCCTAAGGTACAGAGTTGCGGCACAGCAGATGACAAGTGAAATAATTGTGACTGCAAATACGTTTAGAGTCGTTGTATCTCTGTTGTTTGCAGGATGTAAGTCTGGACCTGGTGGAGCTGACATTCAAGGATCAGTACATTGGCAGAGGAGACATGTGGAGGCTGAAGAAGACTCTGGTATGTTAGGATAGAGTGTAGAATATTTTGGGATCTATACATCCAGCATAAATAGCTTAACACGAGAATGAAATGGGGTCTGTTCCAGGTGACCACATGTGTGTATGTCACACAGAAAGTGGAGTTTGCTGGAATAAGGTAACAATCACCTTTTATTGTTCTCAAGCAAAAATCAAACCTTAGCTGTTTCATCCTTCACTCACTTAATGTTTATATTTGAGATAAACTGACTACACTGTATAATCATCAGCCTTGTTTATTGCATTATATATTTACTATAATTTAATAACAGTAATATAATATGGGGCGATTTTCTATCGCCGCACCGCACTTGGTACAATGCTTCAGTTTATCTCATGCTATACAGTAGCTACCCTTTACTACACTTTAATTTAGCACATCACCTCCTCGATTTCTCTCAAATTGGTTTCTCTCAAACTCACTTTAATTTAGCACATCACCTCCTCGTTGTGCTGCTTGGTTTCTCTCAAATTCCTTCAGCAGAAAGGAATAAAAAAGTACAGAGACAGTGGTGGACGGTGGATCAAGTATGATGGACGAACCTTTGTTTGACATGCGGTGTGCTAACGATGCTTTTAACTCCCTAGAGCCCAGGCCGGTGAACTTTGGGTGAAAGGGGAGAAAGTGACCTGTGGTTACATTAGTGAAGACACCAGGGTAAGACACGAGTGTATCCACTAATGTATGGCTTGAAAGCAGACAACGAGGAAGATGATCGATTGGTTAATTATTGATGTTACACAATCCGTAGTTGAAAGAGTAATTAGTGCAGAGTGGAATTAAGACTCCTGTTTAACAATATTCATCCGTGATCTGATGGCAGGTGGTGTTCAGGTCCACATCTGCCATGGTGTACATCTTCATCCAGATGAGCTGTGAGATGTGGGACTTTGACGTCTATGGTGAGTCATTTCTCTCAGTAGGAGTTGTGTCAACAGTTCAGTTCTTTTCTGGTTTGGTAGCTCCTGGTGTCGACCTGTAATTCTACTTTATTGTGTTCATTTCAGGTGACCTGTACTTTGAAAAAGCCGTCAATGGTTTTCTGTCTGACCTCTTTGCCAAGTGGAAGGTTTGTTTCTTTACTTAGTTTTACTTTTTATTTCTTCAGTCACTGAAACACACAACACTGCTGTTTTCACTCTGCCTTTACTTCTGCCTGTTGCTGCACAATGTGTTTAAAGTCAGTGATTGAAGTTCCGTTGATCAACATTGCACATTTCAATTGCTATTACAAAATTATAAATGACAATATTGTGACTGGTACCAGGAGTCAACATGATGTATTATCAAGGACAAAACCAAGAATAATATTTTTACAATTTTGCTTGTAGCCCCAAATGTATATAAACCTAATTAATTGTTACTTTATGCAAAAAACAAATAATAAAAAATAAGAATAGTTAAAACGGCGAAATCTATCGTACGTAGGAGAAGAACTGCAGCCATGAGGTGACTGTTGTCCTCTTCTCACGAACATTCTACAGTGCCAAAAGTATTGGTGAGTCATTCAGTTTGGTCACATTAACAGTACACCTCACCTCAGTGACCACTGACCTCAGGGACATTTTTACTATTTTTTCAGATGAATTTCCTGAGATTCTGCGAGGTTCGATCAGACAGGATCACGACGGGTGTTTTTATGAAGACTTCTACAGGTAACGTTAGCATCGAGTGTTATCATCTCTTCAGAACTGTTTACATAGCATTTTCTACCCAGCCCTGTTTTGCAGATGGGAATATTAGCACCCCCCACTTTTGGAACCACTAATCTAAAATCCTAAGTCAAGTGAAACAGTGAATCACCTCTAACTGATGAGTGTCTCATGATCAGGGTCGTGGCACAGAATGAGCGACGAGACGAGTGGACGACACTGCAGGTCACCATAAAGGAGCTCTTCATTCAGTATCCAGTTCTAGTTCGACTGAAAGAAGCAGGTAGTAAAGTGTTAGACAGGTTTTATGTCTAATAGATGTTTAGATCAGACACATTCTGAAGCTGAAATCCTTTGTTAATTCTCTCTCGTGTCAGATGGATTTCCTGTGGGCTACAACTCCACTGCTGCTCAGGGAAACTACCTGGAAGCGATTAACCTTTCCTTTAATGGTATGTACTACATGATGGAGGACTAATGGTCTCTAACAAGTGTAAAGGTTTTGTCTCTTATATCACTGATGAAGTTGGCTGTAGTTTTCATTCCTCTATTTTTCTGGTTCTCTAGCTCCCCCCACAGGCCAATTAAATGCATACTGCAGTTATGCTATTTGGATATTCGTCTGTGTTTGTCTCACTAATCTAAGACACGTGTGCTGTGTTCCCCACAGTATTTGACAAGCACTACATCAACCGTAACTTTGACAGGACTGGACAGATGACGGTGGTTATTACACCTGGTGTGGGGGTCTTTGAAGTGGACCGTCTTCTTATGATTCTGACCAAACAGAGAATGATTGACAACGGTGAGTCTAATTCCTACTGCAGTTATACAAACATATATGCACATATATAATGACTGAACAGCTGCATTAGTCTGATCGATGCTGGTGTTTTACCTCTTTAGGTATCGGTGTGGACTTGGTGTGTATGGGGGAGCAGCCGCTGCATGCAGTACCACTATTCAAGGTAACATATGCACATACATATATGTACATATATAAATATATATGTGTGTAACGATGTATGTGTATACTGTACATGGCTGTATAGAGTACATGAATATATATTTGTAGTTCAGGATGAAGAATATCTTTTTTTTCCTCTGCAGCTGCACAACAGGACAACATCTGGAGACTCCCTCGTTGGCGATGACTATAACCTTCCTCACTGGATCAACCACAGGTAAGAAGAGCGGCACGAATCCAATTCTTTTAAGATGTGTATTCAACAGGTTTCACCCTCTTATTTTTGGTCTCACACCTTTTTTACTATCCGTAGCTTCTACACCACCAGAGGCCTCAACCCCTGCTGCTTCTTCACCCCTCGAATCAAACTAGCCAGTCGTAAGGTATTGCCACAGTTTACAGAACCTCCCAGTCTGATAAACACACATACATCGTCTCGTATGCTCATCCAAACTGATCTTATTCCTAGATTAACACAGAAAAAACGAAGAGCAACAAAAAACACAGTGAGTTGTGATCACCTCGTCGTCTCTAATGTCTTCATGTTTTCACGAAGCACAAAGAAGACACTCTTATGTCTCTGCCACTTCAGCTCTTTGCCCTTCGAGGGATTCGGACAACAGTTTGCCCATACAAGTCGACTACAACGCCTACGACGCTCAGGTGTTCAAGATTCCCGGTCCTTTACGAGTTCAGAGGGCCGCGACCCTTAGGTAGGTTCTCCCACAGCAGCAGAGGAGAAACTTTTATTCTGCTCTGTCCAGTGTTGGTGAACAGCAGTTATGTGATCATCAGGATGGGTAAAGAAAGAAGAGATTCTAAAGAGCCCAGTGGCAGGAAGAGCTGCGTGGATGTCGGTGGGGGTGCGGGTGCAGGAATGTCGTCTCCTGCGTACTCCACAGGTCCAGAGGAGCACCACAGCCTGGCATCTGATGACAGCGTGGGTCCAGTTTCCAATGTGGTCCTTATACCACGTCTGCCCGCCGTCCAGTATGAAATCAGCAGTTCTCTGGGATACTCAAGCACTAGGGGTAAGTACTGGGCACGTCCGATATTATCAGCCCGATATTAGCATAATTATGTAATATCTGAATGAATCGTTATTGGTTTTGAGTTATGAGTTCTTCTTCTTCTTCTTCTCACACTTTGTTCTATCGTTATTTCAGAGTTACTGGAGAACAAAAAGGACCCTCAGCGGGACTCGAGTGCACCGGGTCGTTTCACTGTAGGGAGCGCCGAGTCCACGTTGCACATCCGACCTGGAAGTTTCACCTCACAGAGAGCTCTGATCAACCCGTTCACGCCCTCCAGGATGCCAACAAAACTCACATCAAACCGCAGGCGCTGGATGCACACTTTTCCCGTTGGTGAGATGCTAACACACACACACACACACACATGGATTTCTTCATCACAGACTTAAGTCCTCTGTTCTTCAACGTGACCTTGGTTCTCAGGTCCATCTGGAGAAGCCATCCAGATCCATCATCAAATCAAAAACCAGAGTATTGCTGAGGTGCAGGGCCAAAAGCAGAGAGATCCTGCCCACACCTCTGCCGAGCTGCTGGAGCTGGCGTATCAAGAAGCTACCGGAAGGTCACACAGAGATTCTATAGTTTAAAAAAAAACAATTTGTGAATTCTCACAAACATCACAAATAATTCCTGTGAATTGTTTTTTTCTTTGAAGGCAAAACAGCTCTAGAGCTGGAGAGATCCACCCCTGCATGGGTGGATGGACGGAGGAGTACGCTGGAAGTCCAGGAAGCAACAGCAATGGTGAAGAATCATCTACTGACATTTAACAGTTGTCCTGCTTGTGCATAGCCTTTCCATTACAAATACTGGAAATACTCATATATATATATTTCAATTGTAAGGCGAGCTGAAGATGTTATCTATGTGTCCAAAAAGCCAGGCGTTCCATGTGGACCATGTCTTTATACAAAAAAAATCTTGCATCAAAATTCTGGTTCATTCCTAATCAGTCCTCATTTGAGACCCTCCATTTAGAGCCCAGATTTCATGTCCAAACAATAACTGAGAAGTAATCTGTGAATAATATTAATTCTGTTCTACACAGTGACTCAGACTCACCACGGCTCCTCGTGTGAAGACTTTGTTTCCGCTGGTGGTGGTGATCCAAGTGAGTTTGTTTCCTCCTTTATCAAAGACCTGTCGTTGATGAATCCAGATATTGGTACAAAACTCTTATCTGAGGATCTGAGCGGTGTTCTTTATCTGTGAGTGCATGATGCGAATAAGCCCTCAGAGGTACTGTACGCTTCTTCTTCCCTTTGGAGGCTTATTCAGCTTCTCAGTGGGCATCTGTATTCTGAGCTGGGTGACACAACAGCCTCGGTGGTGTGGGTTTTTGGGGAAAACTCCAGTTTTTTTTGTCCTATGTTCTTCTCTGGACTCTTGATCTGTATCTCAGCTATTCAGAACCACTCTCCAACCTTTTACATTTCCCCTGTTATATATCAAACAGACTTGTTTTTTATTTTCATTTTTCTCTTGATGATGGCAGGTTTCTTGGTCTAACTGTAAATGCTGCTTCCACAAACTCCTTTTCACCAATGGTTATAATTTGCATGATGTAATATTACTCTTCTCTGAACTGTTCGTGGTTGTGCTGATCACACAGTCACAATCTGCATGCTCTTGTGTAATGAACCCCTCCTGGAATCACCAGCAGGGGGAGATGAGACTCGTGGAATAACACCTGACTTGTGTTTTTCTTTCCATTTTTTTTTTTGCTTCACTTCTCTGTTATGTTTGTTTTTATCCATCCACTCCATCCTCACATCTTCCTCCTTCTCATTCAACTCGTTTCCGATCTGTCATCTGTGCCTCACCCCACCCCACCCACGCACATGTACCGCAAAACCTGCGGTTACATATGTTTTTGTCTGTACCATGGGGGTGTATGTGTGTGTGTGCGTGTGTGTGTGTGTGTGTGCTCCTGAAGTCCTCCTCCTATCTGCACCCCCGACAGTGCCCAGTTTCTGCTGTACAGTTGGAGTGGACTGGAAGTCTCTGACCATGCCGGCCTGTCTGCCTCTCACCACCGACTACTTCCCGGAACACCAGACCCTGCAGAACGACTACACTGAAGGCTGCTACGACCTGCTGCCACACAGTGACCTGGACAGGTACTGCGAACACTACGAGTAACGAGTGGAAAAAACAACAACTTTTAAACAATTCCCTTGTGTTTCTCTCTCTAAGGCGAGAAGATGAGGCTCCGCTGATGACCGCCACTCAGGTGTTTGAAGAGTTCATCTGTCAGAGGTTGATGCAGGGCTACCAGATCATAGTCCAGTCCAACCACAGAAAACCAAAGGTTGCCGTGGCCACACCTCTTGGCAGCAGCCCTCTCTACACCAGAGGTGAGGGAAATGTTATTGTTCTTGTACCTGCTGTACTGCAGTACTGTTTAAACCATGAAGTCATGTTCATGTTCATGTTGTTTATATGTTTATCTGTACAAACCACTAGTTCTAATTATTAAACTGGATTAATTAAATAAGGTGCAATGCTGCCATCTAGTGACTTTCACTTTAACATACAGCCGTTTATCCACAAAAGGTCACACATTGTTTGGCAAGACCCAGGCATTGCGTTACTGAGTTTTCATTATTGGAGGAAAAACCAATAACGATCCGTACAGATAAATGATATTATGAATTATATTTGTGAATCAGACTTGAAGAAATTTTTTTTTTCCAGGCGTCGTCTCCATGCGTCGGGCGGAGGAGGAGGAGATGGTTTACTGGCTCAGTATGGGACGCACCTTTCACAAAGTTTGTCTTAAAGACAAAATCATCACTGTGACTCGCTACCTACCCAAGTAAATACATACGTATACTGTCTGAAGAACTTGGTGGGTTGGTGTTTACAATGGGAGTTTACGATGTCTGTGTTTGTGGTTTAGGCACCCGTATGAGACAACTCAGATCCAGTACAGCTACAGCCTGTGTCCTCCCCACTGTGACGCCCAGTTTGTTTCCTCCTGGGTGGAGTTCGGCCACGAGAGACTGGAGGAATACAAGTGGAATTACCTGGACCAGTACATCTGCTCCGGCGGTTCTGAGGACTTCAGGTAGCTGCACATGTTGATGGTTTCAATTGAAATTCAATACAGGCATGCTATGTATACTAACGGTTTATCAGTTCAATCACACCTTTGTTATCACGTTTTCATTATAAATTAATAAGTGTCTGAGATGAGACTGGTTTGTTTGTTCTCTCTAGTTTGATTGAATCTCTGAAGTTCTGGAGGACTCGCTTTCTGCTTCTGCCAGCTGGAGGCGCTAGGAGGGTGGCAGATGGGCAGGGCCACTGGGATGTTTACAGTGATGGAACAGGTACTGGCCTGGGGGGCAGTGGGGAGTGGCTGCTGCTGGATGGCTTCATCAGGTTCCTGGAGGGTCTCAACCGCATCCGTCGACGCCATCGCTCTGACAGGATAATCAGGGTCTGGACTTTAATTCTATTTGTTCTACGGTTATAATATCAAAAGTATTATATCTTTAGCATGTGAAGATCGAAGTGCATTTCCATGGATTTATTTATAGTGAACAAAGTCATAGCTGATTAATCTGGGCCAAAACATCCCTGAAAAATCTTTATGTTTGTCTGAGACAAGACACCATACTGGACTTCATCTCTGCTGTGTTCTCCCGCAGCCCAAAGGCACACCAATAAAAGGACTGCACGTTACCAGTCCCCTGCCTTCATATACCCCAGAGCCTCTGCAGCCCCCGCAGGTCAAGAAAGGAACTTCAGTTCTCTCTGCGCTGCTAGAAATGGAACAAAGTCAGAAGTGAGTTCCACCAACAGTAGACCACACGACTACGTGTTAGCTTCAGGGACCTGTATCTCAGTCTGTGTTGACTGATTTTTCTGTCGTCTGTCAGGACCCTGGAGGATCAGCAGCAGCAGCAGCAGATGAAACCCTCTGCTATCATCTGTGAACCTGCTACGGTTGCTACAGCGGTCACATTTGCAGACAGTCCTCGCAAAGTAAGTAAATAAGAGTCTGCAGGCAGAGGTGGAATTGACGTTTTTACCTGTTCCCAATTCATCCTTACCAACTTTGAAATTCTGAGAGCTGTCCTCAGTATTTGTAACAAGATATGATACAAATAACAATGAATAATTACATATAACTGATGGGAATGCATCATTTTATTGCCCTGTCTCTAATCTAATCTAATATCTAATCTTATTTAATATAATGAATAAGAAGAGAGAAATGAACCAACTCCCCCTTGTGTTTCCTCTAAATTAAACTGTGTGCAGTTGCCAATTGAAGCCAGTGAGATTGCTGATAAGGTTGTCCCTCCTGGAGTGACAAGTGGAGCAGCAGCAGCACAGCCTGGAGAGACGGCAGCCAGCAGCAGCAGCACAGACACCAGGTAGACACTGAATATGAACTGATGTGACCTGAAGATCTAGATATTAAAGGTGGGATTAAAGATTTTTATATACATATCTGTGGTTTTACACTAATCTGGGATCTTCTTCTCAGTGGCCAGGCTGCAATAGGAGCTCTTTCTCTGTCTTCGTCAACTCCCTGGGAAATCCTGGAGGCCATCAAACACCCCACGTGAGCTGTTGTCTATATATGGATATATGGTTTGGTTTTATATTCAGTTTTTATTCCACTTCTTTGCTCTTTGATGCTACAGGACAGGTGTGCAGCTCCTGCCAGAGCAGAAAGGTCTGCCACTCAACTGCTTTATCAGTGCTGAGGCCGTTCATTGGCTGGTCAGCAACATGGAGGGCGTGGCTACACAGGGGATGGCTATAGATGTGATGCAGGTAAAATGTAAAAAAAAAAGCTCATGTTTTGGGTCATTCTTTTGGCTCCCAGTTCAGTTACTATTTGTGTTGTTGACATACATGTGTCGTATCACTTGTATTTTTTACGGTTCTGTGTGGTGTTTGTAGAAACTGCTGGATGAAGGTCTGGTGGCCCACGCTTCTGGAGACGCAATGCGCACATTTGTCTATGGGTTCTACTTCTACAGGATTGTAGGAGAGAAGGATGGTACAGGATCAGCACTAATACCTACTGTATGAAGAAGTGAGGTCATAGAGGGGGGGTGTAGTCATGGTCTCGTATGTTCTCTGCAGGTCTCAGCTCCCAGCCCCCCCTCACAGCAGGACTGTCTGCTTCAGCCCTGGAGGACCTTGCCATTTTCCAGAGGAAGTGGTTTGAAGTAGCTTTTGTTTTGGACGAGCCGCAACCCTGCAACCTCCCAGCATTCCTCCTTCCTCGACTGCCAAGCCGCCCTGCGTCGTATGCGAGCAGACACAGCTCCTTCAGTCGCAGCTTTGGAGGGCGTAGCCAGACTGCTGCAATGCTAGGTACAGGTAGCACAAGCGTTCCTTTTTTTTACTTCTATAAATGACCATCAATAACCATGTTGGTGACATGTGTGACCAGGGACACACTGGCACGTAAATTAGACATGCTCAGCATGGAAGACAAGCCCAAACAATGTTGTCTCCACTCTCCTTCTGTTCCTCTTTGTCCGTCTCTCGTCCAGCTGCTACAGTCCCAGAGCAGAAGACGGTCACTCTGGACTTGGGCACTACCAGTCGCAATGACCGCACGGAGTGGTGCAGCAGTTATTACCACGGGAGTTTCTCGCTGAAAAATGCCTTTGAGATCAAGCTCCACTGGATGGCTGTCACCGCCGCGGTTCTTTTTGAAATGGTAACGAGCTTCAGCTTCTCACAATTATTACTGGTATTAGGAGCAATAAAAAGCATTTTCTATAATGTCGTATTTAAGGTGTAGCTTTGATAATAAAAAAACCTTAGAAGAAGAAAACACTGAGGATTTTGAACTATGTGAAATGGGTCGGTGTGTGGGGTTTTTTTTTTCTTCTCAGGTTCAGGGGTGGCACAGGAAGGCAGCGTCCTGTGGTTTCCTCATGGTGCCTGTGCTGGAGGTTCCCTTCGCTCTGACCACGTACCTGTTTGGAGACCCACTGAGGGCTCAGCTCTTCATCCCTCTCAACATCCAGTGTCTGCTTAGCAATGGCAGCGACAACCTGTTCGAAGGTGAATCGGCTTCTGAATGAAGCCTCTGAATGTGTGTGTGTGTTCATGTTGATAAAAATGTGGCGCTAACAATTCAACACGTGTGTGTTTGTGTGTGTCAAATAGGCTTTGAACCAGAGACCTACTGGGACAGGATGCAGCTCTTTCAGGAAGCCATACTGTACAGGTCAGTTATGAACATCCTTTTAAAAGTCAATAAATAATAAATATTGACACTTTTTATATTTTTTAAATGTTTTTTTTCAGATTTGGTTTTGTACATGACAAGTTCTCCGCCTCAACTTTTAACTTCTCCTCTGAGAATAAGCCGCAGTACATTCACGTCACAGGTTTGTTTCACGATGACATCACAACCAAACCGATGTAGGTTTTATTCCCGGTCCAATGTAACCCTGCTGTTGTTCTGTCAGGCACCGTCTTCCTGCAGCTGCCTTATTCCAAACGCAGGTACTCCAGCGGGCAGCAGCGGCGGCGCCGGAACTCCACCAACTCCAACAGCCATGGGCCATTTGGCCACGAGGACCGGGTGGGCTACTGCTGGTCCTACAACACCATGCTGACCAAGGCATGGAGGACGGGCGTGCTGGGCGACGAGAGGTTGGCTGACCGACTGTTTAGAGACTTCAGGGATTTCTGCTCCAACAAGGACAACAGACTGCTCAACTTCTGGAACAGCTGTCAGGAGAAAATGACCAGAGCTCCCTGACCTCAGCAGCTGACCAATCAGTGAAGAGCTTCACACTGGACTTAGCGATCAGGCATGTGGATCACTTTCACATTGATTAAGTGACAAAAGCTTTAAATACACAACCGATCACATCAGCTGGCAGAAGGTTGTTGGACTGATTACCTCTGCTCTGATGGGATGACAGGTATATACAGTACTTATACACAATTTAGTATTACTTTACCAGAAACTGGTAAAAAGAAAAATAGATTAGTTTTCTAAACTATCTTCTCTGCCAAATATTTTTCATCACCTGATGCCTTACTTCATTTGCTCTGGAAGTTCTTTAAATTGTAAAGAATAATATGTAAAATTAAAAAGTTTATTTAAAAAAAATAAAGAGACAATTCTTAGCTATGACGGTAGGTATTATTATTTTTTAAAAATTGTGAAGCTTTCCCTCCCGTGGCCTGTAGGTGGTGCTACGCACGCTTAACTGTTGTATAATTGAAATGCAGGATACTTTGTTTCACACTATCTGCTTCTTTATAACGGATGTATTTCATTCATTTTAGGTTAAATGTCACGATGTGAGTAGAACCAGAATCACAACAAGCTCCTTAAAATCAGCGTCCCTTTATTTTTTTAAAATTGCACAGAATCCGTTACACTGGCAACCATGTGAGAAGTGCTCACCCAGGAAGGAGGAATGCTTTGGTACATAAGCAGATCACAGGTAACACCCATACACCCAGTATATGTTATGTCATAGTCAACAGTTGAACCCAGTAAATGTAAGAAACATTTCATTGACACAGAGCCACAGTATCTCTGCCAGCTGTGCTGTGGCCACTAGAGGCAGAGTTCCCCTCCATGCTTTTATCACTGGCTTGTAGAGGTCTGCAAACACAAGGCACACAGTGATATGATTTAACTGTGTAGTATTTTAGATTTTATATCAGCCCATAAAGTGTTCATTGTGTTGTCACTGATTTAATTTAAGCAGATAAGTTGATAGACAAATGCAAATGACTGGAAACCTAGACTAGGCTGCCCGCACCGTGCATGAATGCTACGTTTATCAGTCAATATAAGACCTAGAATTACATCATCAGACTGATTAAAAATTAACATGTTCTTGGCTAATTATTACACTGCATTCATGGTAGACTTTTGGTCCCTATAGTATGAAGAGTTCTGACTCACAGTGCAAAGAGTTGATGATGGTGCTCAGTTGTTAGTTTATTGTGGCATCATTTGAGGTAGCCACTGTCCCACCTGGACAGAGAGAGAGAGAGAGAAGACAAAAACTATTATAAAATATCACAAAAACAATAGGTTATCAGTTTAATTTTTAGTTTCCAGCTAAGATGCAAAGGTTTTAAATTAGACCACATTAGCAGAACTCACGAAGTCTGATGTGGATTGGCCAGATGAGGATGGAGCAGAGGGCCAGGGCTGCAGCGACCGCCACGCCTCCTGTCACTATTACCATCACGTAATGATAGAACCAGGTACAGGCAGGACAACAGGCTGTGTTTCTGAGACAGCAGAAAGTACAGAGCAGGTGGAGTTTGTCTCGTTCTTATTACAACTCGGTCTTTTAGAAAAAAGAAGAAAAAAAAAACACCTGATGGCAATCAGATTCCACTGCTTACCACCAGAGGGAGCCCAAGTACAACTAACGGTGTGTGAACCATAGTTTGAGAAGCACAACTCAATGAAGTATGTATTTGTGTGTTTGTGTCTATTTTTACTAACTGGCAGGGATGCAGTGCCTGGATGATCATCACAGCGATTCCATTGGCCACCTTATCAGTGAAACTCATGGCTCCATAAACAAATGCCCCGCTTTGCTGCAGAGACACAGAAAGACCCAAACTGAGATCAGGACCCGTCCTGGACAGATGTCTGTGAGTGTCCTTCCCATGACCTTGAAAGTTCATTCAAAGATGAATGAACTTTGACAAAGAACTTACTGTCTGATTTCCAATCAGCTCTGCTGTCATAGACAGTGAAATGACCAAAATGGTGGCTGAGCCTGCGCCCAGCAGCACGGCCGCCCCGTACACCCGCTCCTCCATGTGATCATCCAGCAGCACCCAGTAGGAAAAGATCATGATGAGCAGCAGCCCCATGAAGTAGGTGAGCTGGAGGAGTCAGAGGGAGAACACAAATGATGTAAATGTGATCTAACAAACCAGAGGTTGACTCTGGTGGACAACTTCAGTGCTTTCTAAATATGGACCATGACAACACCAAGCCCTAAGGACACCTCCATGGTCAAGGAGAAACAGGGTCAACCCTTGAGTTTCTGTTTGTGATGTGCAGTGGCCTTGAAGTGAACAGACAGGTAGAACACCATTGTTCAGTTGATGAGGAAGTATTTGCCAGACAAGTATTCACTGTCCCAAACACACGGAAGCACGGAGCAAAGGTTTGCAGAGGTAATTTATTTCATACCTCTGCTAGTTTGATTTTGTTCCTTGTAGGTTTCTATTACTGGATATCTACATTTTGACACTTGATACTTTGATAATATTCTGATAGCTGTGCATAGCCCTGGTTGTGAACATATAAATCTGGAATCAATCCCACAGCCCCTCTAGTTGATAAGAGGACTGTAAATGAGAAATGAAATCCTTTCCTACAGGTCCTTAACACATAACATGTTTTCATCTGTACCTGTACCTTCAACTTACACATTTTCCAATCCATTTGCTAAGAGGCTTCATGATGAACGAGGACAGAAAGCCACTGAGATACACGACCAATGGGATTGTTGCGATAAAGTTCTGCAAGAGAGAAGAGTTTTAAAATGAGAGGACTTTCAAACGTATCAATGACGGGGTTGTATCAGTGTTGGTGCTTTACCTTGGGCAGTTCCAGTGTGTAAATGAGATACATTGAGATGTAGGTCTGAGACAGGTTCACTGTTAACCTGGTGGACATGTAGAGTAAGGCGACCTGCAGACACAGGTGTAAATAGCATGGGTCAGTCAGTGACAACTCAATAATCCATTTGTTTTTATTTGTACACAATACTAGGACTGATTCCTTCTACATCCTAGTGGGTCCCAAGTTCAGGTAAATTTATATTTTAGAAAAAACTTGACACCGTTTGAAGTTAATATATATGTATGTGGTATATATGTATACCTGGTAGAAAGACGGCTGCCGCAGCCAGCACTTCCACTGCAGGAGCGTCCTGGACATCTGAGGGTGACTAATGAGAGGCCTGAGCTCCTCTTCTTCTCCCTCCTCCTCCTCCTCCTCTTCCTCCCACCTTTTTGCCACCCTCACTTCTCCATCCTCTAATACCCCAGCTGGTCCAGCTGCAGGCTTTAACTCTCTGGTTCCCAGATGGAAGATGATGGAAAACACTGTTCCGATGCCAAGCACAATAAGCGACAGATTCTGCGATTGGAAACAAAAAGGTTTGTACCCACCATAAATGCAATATTTTACCAACATGTGTATGTGATTGGCACATAAACACACATTTATTTATACATATATAGACATGCATATGTACATATAGTGAATATCTACATATATCTACACATTAATATATAAGAAAATATGCATTTTAAATGTATGTTTAAATATATATACATACATTAAACAATGTGTGTACTTATGTACACATAAAAAAACATGGTTCACATTTATAAAATGTATTAATATTTATTTCCCCAATTGTTTTGGCCGTTTCACTTCACTGAGCTTACTTCCCTCTACTGTATTTTGTCATGTATTTTGTGAACAAATGTGTTTTATGCTTCGTCAGCGTTATCTATGTTGTTTTTCCATGACATTTTACCCATCAAGTTGGGTTTGGACGATGGGTAGAGTCATTCCACCCACTGCTGCTAACTGAACACTGCAACAAAGAATGATTCTCACCCTGAAGACAGGGATGTCCTGTGGTCCCAGTGAGTCAGTGTTGTTGTCGTCAATGGCCTGAACGTGGAACAGCAGGTAGGCCACAGTGTACACAGTAATATTGGCTATCACCGTGAATGCATATCTTCAAGCATAAACAAAGTTAAGTACATTATACTATGATCACAGTTACACAAGCACCACTTTTCATCCAGAGAGGGTTAGGCATGACAAACGTCTACTTTCTGTGGCATGGCAAATTCTTCTCATATGTACCTGTATGCAGTGATTTCTACTTTGGCGTGTTCACAGCTGACCAGCTCTGGGATGAGGGAAAGATGAGAAATCTGTGTGGCAGCCCAGCCAAACTGAAAGACAATTATCACAGGGATGAAGAAGGTCATGCTGGCCCACTGAGGGGTGAGGGGTTCACAGCCAGGACACTGGTTGAAGATGAAGCCAAAGGACAATATCACACTCAGTGTGCCTGAGGACAAAAACAAGAAAATCTGTGACAGATAAAACCCTGAACAGTTGGGAATTCAAAAATATCCAGACTCTCCATGGTAAGTAATAATAATATTCATATTTTTTTACATGTAAGTGTTCACTTTGGCTGATTATTACTAATCCTCCTTAGTTATGCCACTTACAAGGTACTGTATGTGGTAAAACAGTGTACACGTAAGTCAGAAAGTTCCAAGACAACTTTTTTCCATGTCAGTCTCACCAACTAAATGCCACGTTTTCCTCTTGCCATAGTTTCCACAGCCTGGACTACTGTCAGACTCGTATCCAACCAGTGGTGTAGAAATGGCATCAGCTATCTGACCTACCAGCAGCAGCAGTCCTGCATCATAAAAACCATGTGAGTGACTTTACTGTTAACTGTGTGACTGTCAATTTTCCATATAGACCAACACACCCACACACACACACACACACTGACCTGCATTTGTGTTTTGCAATCCCAGCACAGAGTGGTAGAAGATCAGGAGGTAGGTAAACCACATTGATGCACAGAGGTCATTCAGGAAGTGCCCCACTGCGTAGCTACACTTTCTAGGAACAGACAGTGTCCTCACTGTGTTCTCCATCATGGAAATTGGACTCTGAATGTAACAAACTTATCCCAGACAAGCAACTCTCTGACACAGCAGGAGGTTTTAACTTCTGCTTTCACTTCCTTTTATCGACACTCCACATTTGCCTCCGCCTGTCTGTGTTGTAGGACGTCAACAGTGGTGCCTGAATAATGCATGTCCACTCCAACTCCAACTAAGCTGGCAGCAAAAAGGTTAAGGATAGAGACAGCATGAGAGAAGAAAAACAGACATCAAATAAAAAAAAAACCACACAATCCAACTTAACATGACATCAACATAAATAGATTCTGACACAGAGCTTACATAGACAAAAAATGTTCTACTATCCATTAGTAGTTGTAGCAGTAATTATCAGTAAGGTTGCTGCCCCTACCTGTTTTGATTTATTTACTGCATTAGTCTTATCAAGCATGGCTAAGGGACTTTCCACAGGTACAACATCGTGGCTTTGAGCCGTTTCCCAGACAGCATACTGACTTCGGTAAATAAACACAAATAGAAAAATAAATAAAAAAGCTTGAAGACGCTTTTAATCTTTTGACGTCTTCAATTATGCATATTTTTACAATTCATGTTTCTTCTTTTGTTTCTCTGTTGATTTAACATCCTGTCAGACTAGCTGATAACGGAATTAGATTTGTCAGACAAACAAAGGATACAGACACTGAAAACACTGACACCAAAACGAAAACACAGCAGACTTTTATGAAAACTATTCGTAGGACAGAACACAAACTGACACTGAGACGGTGACACAAGCAAAAGGGAAGGATTAAAACAACCTTAAAAATATAATAAAGTCTTTGCGACAGACAATGTTAAAAACAGACAACGTGTACACTTACTGCGGTGCAGATCCCTGTGGAAATGACAAAAACAAAACGGACCAATGATAGTCATCTATTCGCTCAGCGAAAGTGTTAGGGTTCGATGACTCGTGTTGCTCATGTGACAGTCAAAGAATGTTTATGTGTAAAAAGAGGAATCACCACCTTTGTCTTCTTTTACGGGCGTCATGCTAACTGCGTTGATCAGCATTCGCTTAAGTTTGACATCCGCTAGTAAACTGGAATGTGTACGTTAGCACTTTTAGCTTCAGATCAGTCTAAAGTAACATCTACGCCTCCTCTAGCACCTATGTGTTGCCACATAGCAAACCATAAAGTATTCCATTCACTACTAGAATTGTCGTATTTTGATATTAATCTTACGCACCAAATCGCATTTCGACGAGCCTCAGGATAGTCCCCGGCGCTCATCATTGTTTATGTCACACGTCACCATGTTCTACGTCAAACATCGTCACGATACGCTGTGCGTTGGTCGGCAGGATTAATATTCTGCTAGTCTAATTAATAAACATAACCATATAATGAATGGGTTAGGTTATTGTACATTACATTATCGTACAACGTTCAACGCTCAGCCATTGTTGGGATTGCTAGTAAATTCAGATTGCGAGAAAGAATGGATGTGGAGTAAATTATACATGTTACGATACGATTTTAAAACAATTATGTTACTGAAAGGGGTTAGTTATATAGATATGTATATATATGTATTGAATTTACTGATAAAGAGCTTTTGTTCCGAACAATAGAATGAGATGAATGGGATGAAATATGCTTTTAGTCCGGTGTGAGGCGCTGACACAAAAAACTTTACTATTCTGCCGGAAGCGCTGAGGAAGAAGAAAGGCGCTTGGGCTTTTGGCGCTTGAACAGCTTACAGCTGTGTAACACTGTCGTGAGAAGTGTGTTTTAATGACTTACTCTTGGACATTTGTAAACAATAATGACACAAGAAGACGAAGCTGTTTCACTGGAACTTTTTAAAGATGTCAAATTTTACGTTGTGGGCGATATTGACCCAAAGGTGAGTGTCTGGAAGTTAGCTTTTTCTGAGCTTTGTAGTTTGCAAACTAGCTACGACTATATACTGTCAATGTGTGCAGGGGAAGCTAACGACCTAGCTTCGCTAAAAGAGAAACAGCGTGCTGGAATGGATGTATAATTGTCTTACCCATGTTGGGTCGTGTGTACCTTTTAGACATTAGTATTCGATGTCTATAAATACGGTGGAATACAATGATTATACGACAGAATCTAGGTGGGAGCTCAGGTTTTCATCCGTTACCTCTGGTTGCTGTTTCTCTTGCTAGGCTACTGTCGGTTGCGGGTGTTTCTCTTCTGTTTATAACAGGCGTTTTTAGGTTGTTGTGAAAGTACAATACGTTGTCATTGCCTATATGTTGTGCAACCCGTGTGCAACACAAGGATTATTATAGAAATTAAAATTAATTGAGAGTGTGAAGCAACATGTTATTTTGTTCTCTACTATCCTGCGCATGTGTGACAGGTGCCCAACTCCTTAGTGAAAGGTAGTATTACTCTTATTAAGTAAATGATGAGGCTAGTTTTAAAGCGATATTGTAATTGTAACAGTCTTTTTTTGCTGTTTTTCAGTTAAAATTTTTTATTTGAACTGTCAGAGACAGTAAGAAATTAGTAATACAACAAATGCCAGAATATTATAATACAATAACAAATACAATGAAATTTCCATCGTTGTCAGACTCACACTTATTGCACCTTTTCACTATGTCTAGCACACCAGTTTAAAACCTATTTAGACAATATCAGGATATTGAAAGACAATATTTTATTTTATTTTTTAAAAGATTCTGTGATTTCTTTTTTGAAAGGTAAACTGCAATACGACTTTAATCTTTTTCAATTCTGTATTATATCGTGCAAGAAGTATTAATGATACAATAATCAATAAAAAAAATTGAGTAATCTTTAAAAAAAATGTTTTTCTTTAATGTTTTTTGTTCAGGTTGTGCAGCTTCTCAAAGCAGGAAAAGGGAAGGAAGTGTCATACAATGCACTGGCCACTCACATAATTGCAGAAGATGGAGACAACCCAGAGGTGGGCGAATCCATGGAGGTATTTGATTTGCCTGTTGTTAAGGTAAGTGTTCAGTCCTGTTTTGATCAGCATTAGAGATGGGTGTTGTGAAATTTTTGTGAATATACCGTAATCTTTTTTTATTATTGGTGTGAAGATTTAAGATTGTGCCTCCGAAGAACTTGTATCAGATGTTTAGATCATTTTGACTCTATATATCTGTTAACACATAGTTTATGAATAGTTCTGTCTAAATATTTTTTATATATGTATATATTTTTTACATTGCCTAGGATCTAACAGTGGATATAAGTGAATGCCATTGACATTGATTTTTTTTTTTCCCCAGCCCTCCTGGGTGATCCTCTCAGTCCGATGTGGAGTCTTGTTACCGTATCCTTCTACTGATAAGCCTGATGATAACCTAAATGATAACCTAAACTTTCAAACAATTTAAACAGAATATCAAATTTAATGTAATTTTATTCAATGACCCCTGATAATTGTCATAGCTACATTCTGTTTTTCTTTGTTGGAAAGACCATGTGAAACAAAATACATCACAAGTTTTTCCTTGACCTTTAAATGCACAGAGTTGCTGGTTTCTCCCCTGAATCAGGACAGATATTCTTCGGTGTGACAGTGTGTCTTCCATCGGTAAGTTCGCCTTCAGCTAAGTTTTATACTAAATGTAAATATTGTTTTGTTACTAGATCTTGACATGTGAATTAATGTAGAGATATTCAGATATGTCCTATACCTGTTTTTCTCAACAGCTTCCAGATGACCTCAACACTTTGTGGGCCTATGTTACCTTTTATGGAGGAGAATGTCAGCTTAACCTCAACAAGAAAGTCACTCATTTGGTAGTGAAAGAACCAAAGGGTGTAAGTGTTGTCTTCTGTCTCTGTTCTCTGGACCTTCACAAAATACTAAAGTTTATGAAATAACGTTTCTACTTTTGAAACCACCAAATGACATCCTTCAATAATTACTTGTGTTCAAAACGTTTTGCCATTTTGGAACAAAGATTACGTAGATTTAGGAATATGGGTTCACACTGACTCATGCTCAATATAAACACAACCCACAAAAGTTGGGTGACTATAAACAAAAAAGTTGACAGATTTAAATGGAAATTATTGACTTGTTATTCACTGATGATTTACTCCAGGTTTGTTTTTTTTTGTTTGTTTGTTTTTTGTTTTCTGGATTTATTTCTATTCAAGGCCAAGTTTGAACGTGCACTACAACATCCTGTGATCCATATCGTCACCCCAGACTGGATTACTGATTCTGTACAAGGTATGTTGAGCTAATTGTGAAATAATTAATTCTTTTTATCTTGTGAAATTCAGCACAGATTAATTCAATATTGTATTCTTTCAAACTTGTGTCCAGTAAGTTTGGAACAATTCAATTAAAACTTGTGATTGTTTTTGCAAGTAACACTTCCTTATTGATAAATAATGTTCAACACTAAATTAAAAAAAAGTTTAATTTCTTTTTGTTTGACAGAGAAAAGGAGAATGGATGAGGCACTCTATCATCCCAGACTTATTTATGTGGAGCCCGAGGAAGAGGAGGCGAGTGAAGCAGAATCCTTTGACCAACGTTCAGATGGCAGCTACAGCCCCAGGCAACCCCGGCATTTCAGTAGTTGCACATCCAGCGAGGAGTCCAGCCCCCGCAGAAGACCGGGACCAAAAAAACTAAATTCCTCCCCCTTGACTTCCACACAAACACGAGAGCGACGCAGTGAGAGGATGTTCGACGACTCTGACGACGATTCCTCCACAGAGAAGGAGGGCACCAACCTCAACTGGACTCCAGCTGAAGCCGTCATGCCGCCACTTCCTATTCTGACAGGCACAGCTAGGCAGCAGGGTGTGCCACCCGGTAAAGACCCTGGGTCGTCTACAGACAGCGGACTCATCAACTTGTGTGCCTCTGTACCTCTTGTGCCTGGCAGTGCACAGGCGTTCCCCTTAGAGTCTCGCTCTGCAGCAGCTGTGATCAGTCAAAGCAAACATGAGGGTCAGTATGTCTACGTTTGAGGAATATTTTGATTTATTTCGAGGGCAATGATTAGAAAGTACATAATGAACTTATTTGTTTTTAATCAATACACATTTGATTAATAACCCAGCCACTTGAAATGAAAACATTTTAGTTGTTGTACTGGGGGGCGGGGGGGACCAGCATAGTTGTGTGTGTCAGTTTTACTCCAGATTCCAAAACAATAACTATTCCTTTGCAGACACTGTTTCAGACACTTGAGGAGCCGTTTCCCTCCAGACTCTCAGTGGTTTCATCTTTCTGCCTTTTTGCAGGTGTTCCTGTTCCAGGGGGCTTCCCTGCATGGAGTCCAGTTGTCAGACCCCTTCGCCACAGCTCTGACCTTCAACCAGCCAACCGACTTACCAGCGTAGCAAATGTAAAAAAAATAGTTATTTGTCCTGTTTGCTGGAGCAAAAACATCTCCACTTTATTTGTCTATTAAGAACTTTTTCTACGTGCAGAATATTTACTGCACATTGCAGGAAACATTAATTCACTGCCGTGAGTAGGTTTAAATCTGTGTGGGTTTTTTTTTCTTCAGTGTCACCTTTGTTTTTACTATAAACACACGCACGTCTTATGTAGGTCATACTCACAGATGTGTGTAAACCTTTGGGAATAAATATTACACAGTCGCACTGAAAAATTAAATTTTACTCTGCATTTTATTTTTCCTCATAACATTAATTGCAAACTGTTTTTTGTGTCATGCAGAACCTGACAGCCAATCAGACAAAGGCGATGGAAAAGCAGTCCAATCAGAGCTATCTTCAAACCCCAAACAGTAATAAACCTCTTCAGCCCATTCAGTCCAAAGTTGCCGGACAGCCCCACACTACAGAGCAGCAGCAATACTTACTGCAACAAACAAACCAAGTGGCACAGCAACCCCAGCATCCCACAATGCACCTTCAGCATCAGATGATGCAGCTACAGCACAATCACCAACAACAACAGAATCAACAACAGCAACAGCAAGTTGCACAACAACAAGGGTTCCCTCAGTTGCCTCAGCAGCGGCACACTTTTGTGCCACAGCAGCAAATGCACCAACAGATATTCTCCCAGCAGCAACAGCAACAACAGCAGCATGCTTTCACCCAACAGCAGCTGCGGCCGCAGCAGCTCCTGCGTCCCGGGTTCCAGCAGCTGCAGCAGGAACAGGTTCTGCAGCAGCAGCTGCAGCAGTTCCAAAAGCAGCAGCGTTTGCAGATGTTCCAAAAGCGGCAGAATCAACAGCAGTTACAGCAGCAACAACAACAACAGCAACAACATCTGCAACAGCAGCATACTTTCATCCATCATCACATGCAGCCACAGCCGCATCAACAACAGCAGCAGCAGCAGGCAATGGTCACACAGCAGGCCCAACCTCAGCATCTGCTCCATGTTTCTCAACTATTTGGTCATGACCCAGAACAAGAGAGTGAGTATGAGGAGGAGAGCAGATCCTCTGAGTAAACCTGTGTGGGATGTATATCATTAATGTAATAGCTAAATATTATATGTTCAAGCACATGCTACATAAAATTAATTTAAAAACTTTACAATTATGTTCAAAGAAGCTCTCAAATGCTCATTTTCATTTGGGATGCTAATTATTTATTTATTCACATTCCAGTTCCACACGATGGATTCCTGGTGGGCTGTGTGTTTGTTATCGCTGACTACCCAGAGCAGATTGCTGACAAACAACTTTTGGCCACATGGAAACGGGTAAGATGGACTCAGTGTCGTACAACAGTACACAGCAAAAAGGTTTTAGAGGTTATGGGGAAAATGCTGTCAAGCTCACGTAACGGAACAGAGGGAGTCACTGTGTGCTCCTGCAGACTTGCATGGCTTTCCTTGACACTGAAGTGGACACTTTAGACATGCAGTGATGAATCCTAAAGTGGTTTACGATTATTTATTTTTTGGGGGCTTTACAGCAATTTTCCCATAACTTCCTACAGTTCTGCGCAGTACTTTTTTTTTGTCATAAGTTGTTTTTAACTTTAATTTGATCTCTATATCCATTATTTTTTAATTGAAAACTTGTAATTGTCATCTAATCTCTACAGGTCATACAGGCCTGCGGAGGTGCTGTCGACCCCACATTTACCAGCCGGTGTACACACCTTCTATGTGAGAGTCAAGTCAGTAACATGTTTGTGCAGGTGAGGATGTTGAGTTGAGCCAGTAAACGTTTGAAGTTATCCTCTTTCATTTATTATTGTCATGCCTATTTACACCAGGATATCGAGGTCTCCACTGAAATACTGTGTATTTCATTATGTCTTGTTGTCTCTTCCAGGCCTTGAGAGAGAGGAAACGGTGTGTGACCGCCCACTGGCTCAACACGGTATTAAAGAGGAGGAGCATGGTTCCTCCTTATCGGACGTTACATTTACCCTTCGCCTTCCCTCCTGGAGCCAAGCCCTGTTCTCAGCACGTAGGTCTCCCACATTTAAACACTGCCATTTTTTACATGGTTCAACCAGTCTAAATTATATCAACACTGTCAGAAAACAGTTATTTACTCACAAACACTTCTAGAATCAGATACTCAATAAATAATACACAAACCCTCAGAATAACTATCTCTTGAAACTATTTTGAATTTTAACATGACTTCACCTTTTGCTTGTCGTCTTTACAGATAATTTCAGTGACAGGTTTTTTGGACACTGACAGAGATGACCTTAAACTGATGGCCTATTTGGCGGGGGCCAGATACACTGGATACCTGTGTCGCAGCAACACAGTTCTCATATGTAAAGAGTAAGTGATTTAAATAAAAATGGCTGATACCACGCCAGTCCCCCAGTAACAGTTTTTGTCTAACATTGTTATTTGATATCTATTTTGGAATCCCGTCTGGCCCACATGGCCACTAATTACTGCTTGAATTTGAAGGCACAGAGTTGATGTGTTCTCCTGATCTTTATTCAGACCAAGTGGACTCAAGTATGGGAAGGCCAAGGAGTGGAAGATACCGTGTGTCAACGCCCAGTGGTTGTGTGATATTCTACTGGGCAACTTTGAAGCACTGAGTCAGATTCAACACAGCAGATACTCCACCTACACTCAGTCTGAACCACTGGGACCTAATCCAAAGCTGGTCCAGAATCTGCTGGGTACGTGAAGCTGATTGTATGTTTCTAAGTCTGACCTGTGTTTGTGAAGACAGGTTTACCAGAGCATGCTGGCCGTGATGGGCTTTCCCCCTCAGCCCCAGTAAAAAAAACCATGGTGATGCAGTACGTGTTTTCTAAAGTGCACTGCAACTTCAACTGGTTAAAACAATGTTTCTCTGCAGATGCTTGGAGATCACCAATAAAAGTATCTCCTGAGGCCTTGGCGGTAAGTTGGTTAATACACTTGTCTGTCATTTCTGTTTTCATATGTTTTCACCGTAATTCTAATATTGTTTTTAAGCAGTTCATTGTCTTAAACAGTATTTCAGTTTGTTGTGTTTGAGCCATTCTGATTGTGTTGTTTGTGTTTTTTCCGTCATCAAGAACCTACAACTGGCAAAGAAGCAGGAGCTCACAGACTCAGCCAACCCACCAGCCAATAAGAAAGCCCGGTCAGTGCACTTCATCTCTAGTGAATGCTCCTAGAAAAAGTTGATGTTATAAGTCTAAACAAGCATTAGAAGGAGGGGAAAAAAGTAAATTAAATTTTCTTATAAATGTGTTTTGTAACTGTACTTGCAGACTGGAAGAGACCTTTACTCCCAGTAAACTGCTCTCTGCAGAGACTGTTCCTCATGTCATCTTCACAGGATTTGAACCTGCAAACGTGCAGCAGTACACAAAGGTGGGTTTTCACTTCTCCTTTAATTTCTAGGGGAAATGTCTCGTCTTTCCTCTCATGAGTTTTCCTGGGTGATGTTAAAAATACATGATTTTCTGCTCTCGGCTGCAGATGTTGTTTTCTTTGGGTGGTGAGGTTGTGGACAGCAGTCACAAAGTGACTCACTTGGTGGCCACAAAGGTGACGCGCACCGTCAAGTTCCTCACTTCTATGTCTGTGGCCAAACACATTGTCAGCCCAGAGTGGCTAGAAGAGAGCTTCAGGAGCCAGAAGTTTGTAGGTACGTGTTGGGTTAGGTTAGGGTTAGAGAAAAAAGATTGATTAAAAGTCTTCCCCTAAAATCTCTCTGTGTGTCTGTCTTCTCACTGTTGTTTCAGACGAACAGCCTTATATTCTGAAGGACGCAGAGGCAGAAGTGCTGTTTGGTTTTAGTCTGGAGGAGTCCCTGAAGAGAGCCCAATGTGCTCCACTCTTCAAGGTTGGAACACGTGCCTCACATCTGAATAATCAAAATTTAAATTATTTTTTGACCTTGACACAGTCCAGCAATTGCGACAAATTTTATGTGTGTTCCTCATTGACCACTGCCTCTGTGTGATTGATGGTGCAGGGAAAATTCTTCTTCCTCACACCGGGTATTTGCCCCAGCCTCAGTACTATGAAGTCCATCCTGGAGAGTGCTGGAGGGAAGCTGCTGGCCAAACAGCCCTCCTTCAGAAAGATCATGGAGCACAAACAGGACAAGGTTCTAGAAGGACTTTTCATTTTCTTCAACCAAAGACTTTTTATTTGCTGTGCCAAACCAGAATAACCAGTAGAATGAAGGGGAATCTGTGGAGTGATGACAGTAATCAAATGTCTTAACAGAATTGTTATAAATTCCCCTGTTTGTTTGCCTTGTTTTTCAGAACCTTCCAGAAATCATTTTAATTTCCTGTGACAATGACCTGCATCTTTGTAGAGAGTACTTTTTAAGGAACATCGGTAAGTCACACTCAGCCACCGTGCCTCAGTGTTTTACTGTCTATATGTAATGAAAAATATAATAGAATGAATCACTTTGTCTCTAACGTTGTCCTGGTTTGTGTCGTACAGATGTGCACAACGCTGAATTCATCCTGACAGGAATTCTCACCCAGAAACTCGACTATGATTCATATCCTTTAGAACCAATGGTGGGTGATGATGGAATTTTGATTCGAACATTGTTATTTATTCTGGTGAATTTGATTATGTCTCCCTCATAAATGGAATTACTATTCTCGTAGAGTTTGTGACATTCCAACAAATGAGCAACTTTTGTAAACTTTACTCCTTTCTCTTACATTTAATGGCTACGTTCTCTCATACTCTACATAAATTTAACTACATTGTTCACATAAATTCACAACTTTATTTCTCAGAATATCTGTGTTTATATTCGTATACAAATATGTATACACACACGTATATATTCAATATATAGGTCCTTGTTTTTCTTATATATTTACAACCACCAATTATCAGAACTTCAACATGTTAGATAGATAGAACTTTATTATGACATTATGCAATTTGCTTTTTTAAAACAAAAAAAACCTTTTAGTTCTGTTCCTTGACAGTGTCACATTTAAGTTCACATGATGCAGGACCAGAGAAGAACATGTCTTCAGGAACTTCGTGTAAAGTTCAAGACCCAACAAGTGTTTCTATGTGTCTGTCTGTTTTAATAGATGTCATTTTTATATAGTGTTGTGTTAGCTGTTTAAAATCAAATAAATTAATGTTATTTTTGTGAAATTGTTACCTAAATTATAGACTTTTTTTAATAGTTCCAGCCCTTTTTCAGATAGATTATGTAAAGGCTTCAGCTTCCGTGGCTGCTCTTTGAAATAAAAACTGCATTTCTTTGTAAAAGAATCGTTGTCCTAGGTTTTATTTATTGTTATTTATCATTTTCTTTTTAATTATTCATGTTCATCCTATAAACTAAGTGTTTATGTAAGACGCTCATTTTATCAACAGAAATACACCGGAAATGTGATTTTGTGGGAGAGGCTCATGGGTAATTTCTTTGACTACTGGTCTTGTGATTGGATGTTCGACAGCCATTCCTGGTGGTGTTTCTTACACCAAGTAACACGAAATAATAGTGTCGGAGGAAAACAGTCGTTGGGATTGCAGATTTTAGACCTGATTAAATATTTAAATGCATTTATTTACTTATTTTATCGATAACAATTGACATTTATAGACTTTCTGTTCTTGACCAAATCCTGACGGTTCTTTTACTTCCCAAAATTCCGCCATTTGTTTTACTGCGCATGCGCGTCGATCCCAGCCCCACCTCCTTGAGAGCCATGTGGATGTAAACGGTAAATGTATACGGTCGGTAGTTGCTCTTATATTTTTTATTGTTTAACACGAAAGGCTGACGGTGTTTGGATCAGGATGTCCGCGGACAGTGCGAGCCTGCAGGCGCAGGTAGAGTCGGTGCTGTCGGCGTTGGTTAAAACGGCCACGGTTGAGTTGACCAGGCTGTTCGAGAGCAGGTACCGAGCCTTGGCTGCTGCTGTCGATGTGGGCCGCACTGAGGTCCGAAAAGAAACCAGAACAACGGAGAGTTTGTCTGCCGTGGTCACTAAACACAGCGTAGGAGTCCAAATAGACGGAGATGATGACCTTTTGCAGGAATTCGGTGGTAAGGTTACTTTTCCGGTTTACGTGCACCTCGACAGTGGAAACCATGGAAGTGCAATGCGAAGAAAACAATAAACGGAAGTGTTACATGCAATCGTTGCTGTTGCAGCACAAAGTTTTAAAAAATCTGGGTAGATTATGGAAATGATAATCTTTCGACAAATAAGTTTAAAGGATGTCTGGCTTATTCCTTCGAGTTGTTTACAACTGGTGCATTCCATAGTTTTAAAACTTTAGCACCAGAGGAAGTCATTTGATTTAATATTTATAATTACTTATTAACCATATTATAGTTAACTTATTTCACCCTTAATTAACTTGTTAGTTATTAATTTATTCGTTTGTCTGCATGGTGTTTATACTCAGTAGTCTGCAGGAGCTGAAGTGCTGCCCCTACAGGGTCTTCTCATGATAGAGGAATGTTTCTGTGCCTTTGGTTTGACCCTCCCCCTCCGTTTCTTCTAGGTTTCACATTGTTTTCAAACCATCAGCGTCTGGATCAATGCAAGGAGGAGGAGGAGGAGGAGGAGGAGAAAGGCTGTCCAATCCCTATTGGGCTCCCCCTGCCTGAAGAAAATGGCCAGGTTGAATCCGTGAATTTATCCTCTAACACACAGGTCAGAGGTCACATATGTAGCGTTGTTATTTTGGAGGAAACTTAAGAGAAATGGGCAGATGAGCAGGATTTAAATCCAGTTTCAGAAACTTTACTTTTGGTACTTTACCAGAACTTCACCGACTTAATAAAAGTTCTTTAAAGGTATCTGACCCGATATCAAAAAGCCAATATATTTTAAAAAAAGTAGTAAATTAGTGACTTCACAGTGAGTCCTTTCCAATGTCAAATTTAATGACTAATTTATTATATTTTTGTATTTGTTTGTGTTTTTTTTTTTCAGAATTTGGCAGATTCTACAGTAGTTTTAGAAATAAAGAAGTCCACTGATGAAGAGACCCCGACAGAAGTTGTTTTGCAAGGTAAAGAAACAGAAATGTGGCACAAGAGTTATTGTGAAAATATAAATACTGGCTCTGATCTGATGAGTGCAACTTGTAGCCATAAGTCTTATAAAAACAGTGGCCTTTAATGTGAAATTGGCTATTAAGTAATTCTGTTTGTTTAACACCATGAATAAAATGCAACAAAACCAATTAATTTTTTTATAGTGTGTATGGACACCCCTGTGCTGAGCTCTACGAAGAAAGAGACACCTCTAGTCCTCTTGGCAAATAACACTGATGTCACTGCTGGTGAAAATGTGACCTTTGTTTGCCCTCTGATCCTGAAGCCGGAGACTCCAGGTCCCAAACCTGAGTGTTTAACTAAGCCTGTTGAAGCAGAGCCTCCTCAGGCCTGTGTTAGCACTGCTAAGGGCACCGCCTACAGTCCATCTCCTTCTGACGGAGCCATGACACCTGCTCCGGCCGGACTTTGGGAAAAGGTCCTGGCCTCAAAGAAGCCTAATGGGAGCCTGAACATGAAGCTGAACCCGACTTCTCCTGACCAAAAGTTGCTGAGGCCCTGTGCAGTGCCGCTGGTGAACATCCTCACTATACCTGATTCCCATTTAAAGCTTGAGGACAACCCCAAAACTGGCTACCTGCTGCCCAAAGAACTGCGTCGACACCAGAGTTATCACACTGGACATCGTCTCTGCTGCTTCGATCCGTGTGAAAACGGCGTGTGGCGTCTCCAGAGCATCGTCGCCCACTGCCGTGATGGATACACCTGCAGCAACTGTGGGAAAACCTTCAAACACAGAAAGATTCTGCGACGGCACGAACGTTTCCACACAGGAGAGAAACCATACCAGTGCGTCGTCTGCGCTAAGATGTTCGTTTTAAAGAAGAGCCTCCGCCGTCACCAGAGGTTCCACACCGGCGAGAGGCCGCACTCGTGCGCGCTGTGCAACAAGAGCTTCCGTCTGCGCGACAATCTGAAAGCTCACATGAGGTTCCACAGTGGGGAGAAACCTTTCAGCTGTGCCACGTGTGGGAAGACGTTCAGGATCGGGAGGAACCTGGAGAAGCACAAGCTGAGCCAGTGTGGATTCTTCGTTCCGTCTTTTAAGATAATCGCTGGACGATAGCTGTTGACTACTGAACCACGAGTTCTTCTACCTCAGACTGAAAACACTTTTAGAGGTCTTTGACTAAGCTGTAGAGAACCACATCTTATGTCACATGGTCTTTGTATAAATACACACTAGTCATGTCTTTTCTGTCATAGTCTTTTTAACTAGCTTTAAAGTTTGTCTTTAAAAACCAGAAGTACTGTTGATATTTTCACCGTTTCTCCTCTGTTAGAATACACTTACACAAGAATAGTAACATTTTTGTGGCAGATGTGCGTGTTATGTTATGTCTATGAAGATTCTCAGTAATCTAGGTCATGGTCGAGGTAGAAGAAGTCTCTTGGATGAGAGGAGATATCTTCTTTGAGAAAATCTCAGAACTCTTTAATCTTGCATTCAGTTGTTAGTCCACTGAATCACTGAAGTCTTTGGAGTTTGTTTTTTTACTCTGACTTTTGTCTTTATTCCCTCTATAGTCACTTTGTAGCCACTCCCAAGGCAGACTGTTTTGTGCAAATACTGTTTCACTGTTTCATATATTTTTTTAAAAAACAAGGGTAGGTACATTTTGTATATTGTATACAATTAAAAAGACAAAAATGTATTTGAACTGTGTCCTTGTGAATCTACAGGAAATACCAGCAGTTCAGTATGTCCATATCCCATCACCACGCACAACTGACTGTATTTGAAGGAAAGTCATGCACACACAAATACAAAAAAAGCCAAACATTACCTCCAACACCCAGTATGACATTTGAGGGGGAAAAAATGCCACCTCCGTAAAAAGATAAAACAAGAACGATGTGCTGTTGTCGTTGTTGCTTCTCTATTGTGCCACAAGGGATCGCTGTTCCATTTCTTCATTAGTTCGGGGGTCCTGGGCTTCAAAGTTTAAGGTTTGTGGCAGTAGTTGACCTTTATTTTGAAAGGCCATGGAGGCAGTAGGCTGTCAGTCAGAGCTCACATGTAACAGCTCCCCTCAGCTGCAGGAGTAAGAGAGCGGTCCTGCAGTCGGCAGTGGAACAACCGTGCTAGCCGCGGCGGCCGTCTCTCACCCGTCTGCGTCCCACCTCGGGTGAACCGATGCGCCCAAACGCCGACACCAACCGCAACTTTCAACCCACACTCTGATCTTCGAACTTCAGGCACAGCTGCCTTCACCCCGCGGTACTGAATGACGGGCGGCCGCTTCGATTTTGACGATGGTGGAACTTACTGTGGAGGCTGGGAGGACGGCAAAGCCCACGGCCACGGCGTGTGCACGGGACCCAGGGGTCAGGGCGAGTATGCCGGCTCCTGGTCAACCGGCTTCGAGGTGGTGGGCGTCTACACCTGGCCCAGCGGAAACATCTACCAGGGCTACTGGACTCAAGGCAAACGCCACGGGCTCGGCGTGGAAACCAAAGGGAAGTGGATTTACCGCGGAGAGTGGACTCACGGGTTCAAGGGTCGGTACGGGGTCCGGCAGAGCCTGAACACACCTGCCAGGTACGAGGGCACCTGGAGTAACGGGCTGCAGGATGGCTACGGCGTGGAGACGTACGGGGACGGAGGTGAGAAAGGAGCGTCAGGTGTCACCCACCCCTCAGGAGACACAAAGACAAAAAAAAAAAGATTTCACTATAAATACAGTTACACGTACAAATACTGCAAAAGTAAATACCTGAAATGAATTTAAAATATAGTGAGGGGTCGACAGCTCCACCTGCAGGGGTCGTAATGTGTGTGCGCGAAGTGTGGGTTTAATTTATGTTTTACCAAAGCAGTAGCTTTCACGACTGTTCTGGTCTCTTAATGAGCTTGAGGTTCTAATGTTGTTGTGTTGGCACCTCCTCGTGGCCAGAAATCAAGCCCTCTGTTCTGAGTTTTTTTTTTTAACCAACCCATGGGTCACGCCCCTGTTCCCAAGATTAGATGAATGTAGTTAATATAAAAATCTAAATGTGTTGAAACGGTGAGAAAGTTGAGTTTGGTCCAACAGAACAATTTTATTTTGGCACCAACGGGTCCATGAAATGAAATCATAATGACTCCAGTTGAGATTTTTTAATTTATTGTTAAAATGACATTTAAATAGAATGGATTGTAGCCCATAAAAATGAACATTTTAAATGAACACTTTAACACAAATAGCATGTGGCATAATTGAGTTCTAATTGAGAATCTATTTATTCATTAAATCGTCTTTTACCACTTGATCCTGTTCAGGGTCACTGGAGGAGCGGGAGCCAATCACAGTTGACCTCAGGCCAAGGTGGGGTACACCCTGAAACCTC